TCAATCGCAAGGTTACCACCTTCAAAGAATGCCATTATGTCCCGAGACGCAGGCATAGCTGTCTCATATGCAATGCAACCGCACAGGCCACCATGCAGAACAAAACGTGGATCAAACAGTTGCAACTGTAGGCCAAAGGAAAAGTCTCTCATCCCAGTCAAACTCCATACATGCAAGGATTACACTAGGCTGATGGACGGCAACACCCGATTTTGCCTATCTTAGTTACCTTGCCGACTGCAGTCTGCGATCCTGGTAGGATTCTCGGAATTATCAATCGGGATCGAGCATAACAGGCCACCTGATAAGTGTACGTCTCGAGAAGTAGGCCTTGCGCTCGAAACCCTCGGAAGTATCTGTGCTGCATCGGCTAAAGGTACAGTACAGTGAACCTGGATTACTGTTGTTTGGGTTAGTTCGAGTCATGTTAGGTTGTGGACTATGTTGTTTCCACTGTACCGAGACAATCTGAATTTAGATCAAAGAGGAAATTAATTTCGGAATGATGATAACTCCGAGAGACGAAGATATCCACAATATCAAGACTTGGGTGTCCTTTCAATTGGAATCTGCTTCTAAACGAAAAGGGCTTCTGGTGTGCGGGGAGCATTAGGGAAATTCGATCTGTTCCATCAGGGCAAGTACCAGAAGATCGTTAAAAAATCAGAGTAATGACAGCAATGTCTCCCTGCCTAGGCAGGATGGATAAATACGAAGCTTGCCTTGATTTCAGCCTGTCAAGGCGAGACCCGCTTGGGCTCGATGAAGTAAGTAATCACTCTCGGCGGCTATTGAGCTGAAGAACTGAGCAAGCATGATTACCATTCAGTCAAGGATGAAGGAGGGGGAACCCAGCGGGACGTTCCAACTTGAATAAAACATGGAACTCAGGGACAACAGGAAATAAATTAGGCAGCCCTCCTCCTTTCTGCTGAACACATTCTGTCGCAGATCTAATCTGATGATCTAATCTGATAAACCAGGTGGCTCTGCAAAGAGGAGTTTGTACGAGTAAAACCACTATAATATAGCCGACTAGGACGTGGCATGTTGTGATGTGCAACACTAGTCTCAGCGTATGCCTTTCATTGAGAGTATAGTAAAGTATTGGTAAAGTCTTGGCGAAGCCTTATCAAGTCAAAATAAGAATTCTTGGAATCCGCAAAACATATAAATGAACTCGCCAAGAGGTCATAGAAACCCGTAACAGCTAGAAGCAAACCCTCACAATTTAAGGTTTAACAAATACTTTCAGGTCAAGTACACCATCTCCGCTACATTCTAATCTTCTTAGACCATATTTCAAGAGTGCTTTGATGAGGTTACACAACAAAAACATCAAGATGGAGAGCGTTGTTGGTTCACGTGACGATATCTTCCAGCTGCATGTGTCACATGACAGCGCGTTTTCTTCGTGTCACCAGAAAACAACATCTACCTCATCATACCCAAATCATTATCTTATCGATGATACAGCAACTCATGGGTGATCAGCAATGGACTGTATCCTAGATGGTCTCAATTCCTCCCAGTCCACTGCTGTGACATCCCCGGCTTCTATCTTGCAGGTCCTCGCGCCACCGGGTTCGGGCAAGACAAAGACCCTGACGGCGCGCGTCGCGTACCTTCTGGCGCATCACAATTACCGCCCTCAAGATGTCATCTGTTGCACATTCACTATCAAAGCCAGCCGGGAGATGCGAGAGAGGCTGACCAAGTTGATTGGTGAGGACTTACAGAAAAGACTGCTCCTGGGAACCTTCCATTCGATCTGCCGGCGGTATCTCGTAATCTACGGCCACTTGATCGGATTGAAGAAAGGCTTCGGGATCGCCGACTCCGGTGACAGTACGTCTATCATCAAAGTGGGTCAAGCCTCTTTCTTGTTGATCTTTGCGCGACCGTCTTCATAGTGAAGCTATATTGACTTGTGACAATTGGCAGAAAATTATCAAGCGGCTGCGCGTCAGTATCGAGCCTGGAGCTGCTAGAGGACGGATTTCTCGCCAAAAGGCTCAGGGAGTCGGTCCAGATGAGGTTGCAGCAAGGATACAGATAAAGAACAAGACCACGGAGCAATGGGACTTCGTCCAGGTCTACCGCGAGTATGAAAGGCACCTGGCGGAGTCGAATCTGCTGGACTACGACGACCTGCTTGTGCGATGCGCCGACCTCCTGAGACAGCATCCGAAATGTGTTTCGAATATCCAAGCCGTCCTGGTAGACGAATTCCAGGACACCAACCTCATTCAGTATGAGCTCATGAATCTCTTTGCATCCCAGAACAAGCGCATCACCATCGTCGGCGACCCGGATCAAAGCATCTATGGGTTCCGCTCCGCAGAGATCAAGAATTTGGCACGCATGCAGAAACTATACCGCGACACATCCGTTGTCTTACTAGAGAACAACTATCGGTCGTCTGGGTCTATCCTGAATTCGGCACAGGATGTCATCGAGCAAGACACCTCCAGACCAGCGAAGAAGCTGCAGCCAACACACAGCGTGGGAACCATGCCTGTGCTGCGGAAACTGGTAGATGCCGAAGCTGAGGCGCGATGGATCGTGCTCGAGATTAAACGTTGTATCGGGACGACAGGCAAGCTCCTCAATTACTCCGACTTTGCCGTGTTGCTTAGGACGGCAGCTCTTTCTCGACGTATCGAGTCAGCAATGGGAAAGAATGGAATTCCGTACCGGATGGTTGGAGGCTCGAAATTCTTTGACCGAGTCGAGATCAAGCTGCTTCTGGACTACCTCCGGGTCATCAGTCATCCGCAGAACAGTGAAGCCCTTACCCGTGTCATCAATACGCCGTCTAGAAGAATCGGAGAAGAGACAATCAAGGCGCTCACCACCGGCGCCGAGAAAGCGAAATTGCCACTCTGGGACTATATCAAGGGTGTCGCGCAAGGCCACCGGTCAGCCGATTGCACTCTTTCAAAGCTCACTAATCAGGGCCTTTGCACATTTGTTGGAATTATCGAATCTGCTCGGAAGAAGCTCAGTGACACCACTGATAGTTCATCGCCACGGATCCTCCTTGACCACGTGATTAAGAAACTAAATTTTCGAGAGTATCTCAAAACCTTGCACGGATCTAATGAGGAAAATCGGTGGGCCAATGTGGAGGAGCTGCTGACCCAGGCAGACGATACATCTGGCTCAGACGCCCAAAATCCCGAAACCGAAAGTCTTCCCTTGATAGAGGGCCTTGAGCAGCAACAGGCGCACCCCGGGGAAGAAGCATTGTCTCGGTTTCTCGCGAATGTGGCACTGTCCAGCGAGGTCACACTGCAAGAGGAAGGCTCGGAAGCGAATGTCTCAAACGAGAAAGTCACGATCTCGACCATCCATGCGGCAAAGGGACTCGAATGGCCCGTCGTCTTTGTTCCCGCCGTGTACAATGGCAGCATCCCCCACTCACGCGCCGAAGACTCCGACGAAGAACGGAGGCTGCTCTACGTAGCAATGACCCGAGCGCAAGCACTGCTCTACTTGAGCCAGCCCCTCGAACAGTCGCAGGGAGGCGAGATGACCAAACTGTCCAATTTCCTTCCGGAGGAAGTAGTCGGCAATAGGTTTCGCTTGGTCGGCCCTGTCTTCAGCGACGATGTCGTTCATGGGATCGCAGACATCCTCTATCGACCTAAACCGGAGGAAGTAGCAATACAAGAAGCCCAAAGCACACTTACATCATTGTTTGATGACCGGTGGACGAAGGAAGGATACGAGCAAGTCGATCCTTCGCTTCAATATGGTGATCGGAGAGCAATGGTCGAGGGGCCGTACTCGAAGAGAAAGCGGTTTGACCAGCCTCAAACTGCTGAAACTGACACATGGCTTCCTACTCCATCCCTAGGATTCTCATCAGCCCGAAATTACATCGCTGCAAGCAATGCCGTGGTCGAGGATTCAGCCACCGCAAAACCCGGTGCCAAAAGGAAGGCGATTGGCAGTGGTCCCGGTCGTAGGCCCGACGCTTCCCAGAAGACACTTTCCGGCTTCCTAGGCCTGCCCTCCTCGCCAGCTACTACGACGGGGGTCGAGGTTAGTGCCAAAACTCTCTCAGTGTCAGGCCAGAGAGGGACGTTGTCTGTACCCCCAGCCCAGACGAGACCGACGAATGCCGCGGCGAAAGGATCGATTCCGAAACCATACACCATGCATCGACCGCAAGTGCAGCGGCTGCAACCACCGCGACCCGCCCTCGAACCATCGCATCCGAATGCATATACGTGGCTGGCCGAGCCCACGGACCTCTCGCGGATGCCCAAGTCTCTAGTCCAGAACAGCCACGAAACTTCTGTTCAGCCGACATCAGCTGGCAGTATGAATACATATTCTGCAAGTACCGACCAGCTATCTCGGCCCGTCAGCACGTTCCACACGACCACAATGGCAATGGTCCAGAACCAACCGCCAACGACGATGCGAAGGACCCTGGGGATCCGTCGGAGTAATGTGGATGGCTGGCAGGCGCGGATGCAGAGGGAAAGTCAAGGTCGGTGAGACGGAGCCAGTTGGTGCTGAAAGATGGTCCACCGAAAGATTAGGCGTGACGGGTGAACCTCTATAAGAATGGCTTCGTATAAGTGCGTTGATCGAGCACCGATGAGTAACTAGCTTCTACATAGCACGCATATACCCCCAGGTTGGAGAAAATATACCAATGTTGTTGAACATTACACGAAGGTCTGAATTTGGGCGAGTTCCAAGCCTGTAATGCACATCTCTCTCAAGTGACGGATGCATGAATACTCTGATCTACCAAACGATAGACACTAACCTCCTATTACTGCACACTTATATGAGCCTTGAATGAAATCATAATAGCCTCCGGACTCAAATTCGGGTCCATGCAATTCATTGGAATAGTGCTTAGACAATCCCCCTCCCGCCTCAACATACTCCACCGGATAAAGTGCTTATACACGCTCATTAAAACAGAAACAGGAGCTTTTTTTGGTTCAAAAGTACACGATCCCAGATTTCCCCATCTACTCGATCTTGCCCTTGTTCACAACGAACCCTTCCAAGGCGGAGATGGCAGCCCACAGGCGGTTCTCAGCCTCGGGGAAGACCAGCGAGCGTTTGCTGTAGAAGACCTCATCGCTGACCTCCTCGGGGTGACGAGGCAGGCAGTGCATGAACTTCCAGCCCTCGTTGGCGCCACCGCGCTTGGCCAGCTCGGGGGTGATCTGGAAGCCGGCGAAGTCCTGGAGGCGCTTGCGGGCCTCGGCCTCCTGGCCCATCGAGACCCAGGTATCCGTGACCAGCACGTCGGCGCCCTTGACCGCCTCCTCGGGGATATTCGTCTGGATGAGCTTGCCCGGGTTCTGGACGTTCTGGCCGGCCTGCTGGATGAGCTCCAGCATCGGGGCGGGGATCTCGTAGCCCTTGGGGGTGGCAACGGCGAGATCGACGCCCATCTTGGCGGCGCTGATGGCCATGTCGAAGAGGACGTTGTTGGCGTCGCCGATCCAGGCGATCTTGAGGCCCTCGAGGCCGAGGCTGGAGAGGTGGTGCGCCTTCGGGGTGAAGGTCTCGTGGAGGGTCTGGAAGTCGGCGATGGCCTGCAGCGGGTGGAAGGAGTCGCAGAGGGCGTTGATGACGGGGACGGAGGAGTGCTGGGCGAGGCCGGCGACGTCGGCGTGCGGGCCCACGCGCGCGACGATGCACGAAACCATCGACGAGACCACTACCGCGGTGTCGTACAGCGACTCGTTGACCCCGAGCTGGATGTCGTCCTTGCCCAGAAACATCGGGTGGCCGCCCATCTGCACCACCGCGCCCTCGGTCGAGATCCGCGTCCGCGTGCTCCGCTTGCTGAACATCATCGCCACCGTCTGGCCCGTCAGCGCGCCCAGCAGGTTCTGCGGGATCGCGCCGGACTTGATGGCGCGCTTGTGGGCCGAGGCGTTGCGCACCAGCGTCGCGAACTCGGTCGGCGTCAGGTCGGCGATCGAGAGCAGATGGCGCGGCGCGAAGGGTGAGGTCGGCGGCAGGGTCTGCGAGGCTTGGTGCTGCAGCAGCTGGCGGGTGGCCGAGCTGCACCGCGCAGCGGTCATTCGGAAAGCGCCGGGCATGATTGATGTAGCTGTGTCGGGGTTGGAATTGAGCTGTAGCAAGTATCCAGACCGGCTATATAACTCGATCGTCGATGGCGGTGTATGACTCAAGTGATGTACATGATGTCACGTGATGCGGGCAGCGACGCCGGTGACTCGTCTGTTTGCAGCGTTTGCAGCGTTTGCAGTCCGGGGGAGGCAAACTGATAACAATTGCCAATTGTCCTGACTCATATCCATTGGTGATGACAATCGGCTAAGAAAAACTTTCCTGGGCTTTTTATCCGGACAGCCCAGGTTCACCAAGGAGTCCCAGCCATACCGAGATTCAAGCGAGTGTACGGGTGTATCGAAGAAGCGAATACGCAGTCCCGTAGGACAGAAGTCACACAGTGCGCTCGTCGAATTCCTTACGGGCCATCCTGCCTGTCACCTATGTGGGCAATTCGCTATTCTTATGTGAGAAGCACACAGCAACCGCCCCGGCGCCCTGAACTCAAAGCGAAGGAGTGGCCCTAATGCACTGTACCAAATTTCCCGGTGCCTGATGGACCCGCACTGCCGATGGCAGCTTGATGAGAAGACAAATGCTAGTGCCAAAGTGCCTACTGCCACATACAGTTTTGCCTACCAAAAAGTGGAAGGTTCTTCTGATTCCATCCAGACTTCTAGCGCCGGTCGGAAACAACGCCACCGGAGTTCCGCCGGGGCGTGTCAACCACGTGATATTTTCTCGAACGGTCGAACTACGAGTATGAGCCACGTGATCCCAATCGATAAGCATTTGGTCTGTATGAACTCATCACGAACTCCCATGCTTAATTCGAGCTTAAATCCTACATCGACCATTTGGGATCCGTGTTCGTGAGCAAATAATTGCGCCAACTGAGGATCCAATTTCTATCTCTCTACACAGTAAATAAATATGACTTCCATCCATGTGAAACTGAAACTGACAGTCGCCCCCCCTCGCCCAGAGCTTTACATAATAGTGAGCTCCAGCCCGCCGAGGGAGTGGGGCAAATTCTCTCGTTTTTCCCTTTCCCGCCTTTCCCACCGAATGGAACATGACGAAAAGCCGATCCAATGGTTGCAAGATGCGCGCTGGTTCCGAGTGGCAGCAGCACCCATCCCAGATTTTGTTTGATAATGAAAAATGGAGAAAACTCTGCCTAGAGCCACATTTGTCACTTAACCCAGCTTCCTCCCCCATCCTACTGACGTTTGCCTTTGCCTGTCACTGTGACGCTGCACACTTTCTGCAAACCCAAGCTCTCTGGTCCAAGTCGTTGGCACGCTACCTACTCCATTACGGTAGAATCTCTGCTCTCGGGACCTGTCTTTCGATCCCTCCGCCAACATGGGCGAACAGGACAACATCGCCCCCGCGAATAAGCTGGGCGTCGAGAGTGTTGTTGATGACCCCAATTCCTCCGACAGCAACAGCGGGCTGCGGTCGCGACGCCGCTTCGGATCGGCGCAGGAAAATGGAAAGGATATTGAGAGTGATCACGAGGACGAGGGCAAGCTGAAGCGCAACTTGAAGAACCGTCATCTGCAGATGATCGCTATCGGTTCGTTTTCCCGTCCCCTCCTACAGGTTCATTACGGAACTGATTGGTGAATAGGAGGAACCATTGGAACTGGTCTGTTCATTAGCAGTGGAACAGCGCTGGCAGAGGCTGGTCCGGCCGGTGCCCTTATCGCATACGCCTTTGTCGGTTCGATCGTGTACTCCGTCATGTGCTCCCTGGGAGAGATGGCAACCTATATCCCCGTTCCCGGTGCCTTTACCTCCTACGCCGCGCGTCTCGTCGATCCGAGCTTGGGTTTCGCCATGGGTTGGATTTATTGGTTTAATTGGGCGTCGACCTACGCCGTCGAACTGACTGCTACCGGTATGATCGTCAAATACTGGGACGAGAATTTGTCCGTCGCTATCTTTATCGGAGTTTTCTGGGTTGTCATCTCAGCAATCAATTTTCTTCCTGTCGGGTTTTACGGCGAGTTGGAGTTCTGGTTCTCGCTGACCAAGGTATTGACTGTGTTGGGATTCATGATCTTCGCTATCTGCATTGACGCCGGAGTCGGCAGACAGGGCTACTTGGGCTTCAAGTATTGGCACAACCCTGGCGCCTTTGCACCCTACTTGATCACTTCTGATTTGTCGGTGGGGAAGTTCGTCGGTTTCTGGGCGGTGCTCATTCAGGCTGGTTTCTCTTACCAGGGTACCGAGCTTGTCGGTGTTGCTGCTGGTGAGACCGAGAACCCTCAGAAGACTGTCCCTTCTGCCATTCGCAAGACCTTCATCCGCATTCTGATCTTCTTCGTCTTGACCATTTTCTTCATCGGTCTGTTGGTGCCTTATGACAACCCCAATCTCGCTAGCGATGCCGGCAACGCATCCGCCTCGCCCATGGTTATCGCCGCCAATCTGGCTGGTGTCAAGGTTCTTCCCAGTCTGATCAATGCGGTTCTTCTGACGGTCGTTCTCTCTGCCGCCAACTCCAATGTGTACAGTGGTAGCCGTGTTCTTCTTGGATTGGCTCAGGAAGGTTTCGCGCCCTCCTGCTTTGGCTGGGTCACGCAGCGTGGTGTGCCATACGTCAGCGTTGCTTTCACCGCTCTCTTCGGTCTTCTGGGATTCATGAACGTGTCGAGCTCCGGAACCACTGTGTTCAACTGGCTCGTCAACATCTCTAGTGTGGCTGGTTTCATTTGCTGGACGTCCATCAACGCCAGCCACATCGCCTTCATGAAGGCGATGGCTGCTCGCGACATCTCTCGCGAGACCCTGCCTTACAAGTCCTGGGGCCAGCCTTACCTGGCGTGGTACGGATTGTTCTTTAACCTCCTCATTACCTTCACCCAGGGATTCACCGCCTGGATTCCTCACTTCAACGTTTCCGACTTCTGGGTTGCCTATATCTGCCCGGTCCTCTTCGTGGTCTTGTATATCGCACACAAGGCGTGGTACCGCACCTCGTTTGTCCGTCCTCTTGAGGCGGATCTTGACACTGGCAGACCGCAGTTCACCAACTGGGAGACCTCGAACCCCAAGGATGGGTGGGGCAGAAGGCTGTGGGATAGCATCATGGGCTAGACCTGTGCATTTCATCATAAACGTGGAGTTTTATACGCCCTCTAGATAGTGGGTATGTCGAGGTCATTATTAGATCATCGTGGTGTGGTTGTGCCGATCGGCATCTGCTTTGAAGCAAGTTCTTGTATATACTATCAGCTGGGTTGCATTCATCTGCCATATTTAGCATTAGCTCGTTTAAATCTGTACTATAGACTTCATTCAATTTATGGTTTCTTATTGAGTTCAGTCGTATAGTATCATGGAACATTGAGTCCGGTGACTGGTTCATCGACCGATAAGATAAGAGCGAGCGGACCTGCCATCATTACCGGATTATTCATCATCGATTGTTATCTCCGAAGTCTCCGAATATGCCGAGCGGGTTTCTGGCATTCATGCAACGATAATTCGACTCAAGTTTTCTCTCACTTACAGAACCTAGGACTCCCTGCAGCGCTTCGCTGGACTCATCCTGATCCACTCCTCGATAGCTCCTGTATTCTGACCCTTTCGAGGGCTCCACGGACATGGCAAGGTCACGACAAATAATCGACCTCGCAGTCTTGAGCTGCCGGTTTCCCAGACTCACCCAGAAGCCCAGCTCAACGCTCGCAACCAGCGCGCGCCTCTTCACGTCGTCGGCTACAGTACAATCCCGACATGGGCGCATTCCCCTTCACATTCCCCCACCATTCCCAGTGACCAAGTCGTGCCCGGAGCCCAGCTGCTCATGTCCTCCCACCCCGGATCTGCCCGCGCCGATTGACCACGACCAGGCTCTCAATGGCACAATGGCGGCCTACGCGGAGCAGCTTCTTGTGTGCACCGGTCAGAGGGACTGGACGAGCCGCATAGAGGATGATGGTGAGGGACACAGCTGGGGGGATCTCGTGCGGGGTCTGAAGGGTCTACTCGGACGCGGCGGGCGATTCGCCGACGTAAGTTTGTTACCCTGCGCTGTCACCGCTGTACAACAGCGAATCCGCTCGCCCTAGCGCTACAAGTTCACCAGAAATAGCCACTGACATCTACGCCACCTCGAACAGCCCTACCATAACATCCTCATCACGAATTCCTCGTTCGCGCCGTCATCGCAAACGTCACCAGCCTCGTCCTCGTCCCAACCAGCAGCCTCCGCCTTCCTCTTCCCCAGCTTCAAATACTTCCCTTCCATCCCCACTCAACCATCCCCGGAGAACACAGAGAACACAGACCTCTCAACCTTCGTCCAAGCCCATCTCCTCCCCACCAAAGCGCGACACGGCGGCCCCAGCCGCCGCCCGGAACTAGCGTCCGCCCTCCCCGAGGCCATCGACCTCCGGCACTCGCCCGTGGTCCTCATCTGCGGGCACGGCGGGCGCGACATGCGCTGCGGCGTGATGGCGCCCGTCCTGGAGACGGAGTTCCAGCGCGTGCTGCGCGAGAAAGGGTTCGCCGCTGCGGACGGCGACGGCGACGGCGACAACGCGGCGAGGATTGATCGCCCGGACCGGGCGCATGTCGGGCTGATCAGTCACATCGGCGGGCACAAGTACGCTGGAAACGTCATCGTGTATATCCCGCCGGGGATGACGGTGGTGGGGGAAGACTCAGCTTCGGCGGTGCTGCATCCGCTGGCCGGGAAGGGGATCTGGTATGGGCGCATTGAGCCCCGGCATGTGCAGGGCGTGGTGGAGGAGACGATTCTGGGCGGAAGGGTGCTGGCGGATCACTTTCGGGGTGGGGTGGATCGGGAGAGTGGGATTTTGCGGTTGTGAGGGGGATGGTGATGGTGATGGTGATGAAGATAGCAGTAGACGACGTTGGTGCACTCTGTATATTAGCGAGGGAAAATACAATAGATCTCTTCTTCTTCTTCTTCTTCTTCTTCTTAGACGGGATAGATTTGACGATTCTGGATCCGGCAGGGGGAAGAGTAATCATGGATCCATGATTGAGCCTGGAGTAAATCTCTGGTTGGGTCATGTGCACAACAACGGGTGGTTCGGGTGGTTAAGATAATGGAGCACGGAATACGGAGTAGTTACTGCACTCGATAACTCGATAACTTATTTACAAATAGTTAATCCTCCGGGATGACAACAAAAAGGCGGGGTGCCACCGGAGAATTGCCGTTTTGCCATAGTGGGGCATCAACCCCACACATCCCTCTCTGTCTCTCTCTCTCTCTCCTTCTCGCTGCAAAAGTGGCCAACTTCTAGAATCCCCCTAGGGTCACATTCTTGAAATTGTAACGGCGGCATGGGTGTAATGAAAACAAACACCCAATGCCCTCAATTGGTGATGTTCAGGAGCGAATTAACCGAGCAGTTTGCATGCAATCCACCAAGGCTTAAATTGGGCTGAGACAATCTTCCGGTTATGCTTGTCCTTGTGACTGGAATCGTCAACCATACGGAGTAGTTAGCTAGCTATAGATAGATAGTTACATAGTAGTAGTACAGGAAAAGTAAGAGTACGGAAAGAACCCCGCTGGGCGGGGAACCCACCGGGTAAATACATGAGTAGTAATTGGTGGCAACTTGGATCCATTCCATCCCATACTTCGTTGTTTTCCATTCGATCCCATCTGTCTGCAGTCCAGCTCCAATGCTGATCATGGAGGGGCTCAAGCCCTTCCGAGTTTGACTATTAAAGCTTCCTGCGCCGCTCTTTTGCCATCATCCTCAATCTATCTCTTCCTCTCTTCCTCCTCCTTCTCAGCGTCCCTTCACTCCCCCGCCCTATACCCAATCTACCCCCGTCTTCAGCACCATGGCCACCGCAACCGTCACCGCGCTCGAGAAGCCCAACATCGGTGTCTACACCAACACCAAGCATGACCTGTGGGTCGCGGAATCCAAGCCTACGCTGGAGGAAGTGAAGAGCGGCGAGAGTCTGCGGCCGGGGGAGGTCACCATCCAAGTCCGTAGCACTGGAATTTGCGGGTACGTCTTTTCCCCTTGGCCCCATTTCTTTCGAAGCGAAGAGTTCGACCAACTAACCATCAACGACACCACCAGATCCGACGTGCACTTCTGGCACGCCGGCTGCATCGGCCCGATGATCGTGACGGGCGACCACATCCTGGGCCACGAGTCGGCGGGCCAAATCATCGCCGTCGCGCCGGACGTCACCTCCCTCAAACCGGGCGACCGGGTCGCCATCGAGCCCAACATCATCTGCAACGCGTGCGAGCCGTGCCTGACGGGGCGGTACAACGGGTGCGAGCGGGTGCAGTTCCTGTCGACGCCGCCGGTGGACGGGCTGCTGCGGCGGTACGTGAACCACCCGGCGATCTGGTGCCACAAGATCGGGGACGAGATGAGCTACGAGGACGGGGCGCTGCTGGAGCCGCTGAGCGTGTCGCTGGCGGCGATCGAGCGCAGCGGGCTCCGGCTGGGCGACCCGTGCCTGATCACGGGCGCGGGGCCCATCGGGCTGATCACGCTGCTGAGCGCGCACGCCGCGGGCGCCACCCCCATCGTGATCACCGACATCGACGAGAGCCGGCTGCAGTTCGCGCAGTCCCTCGTGCCGGGCGTCCGCACCTACAAGGTCGACACCAAGAAGTCCGCCGAGGAGAACGCCGCCGGCGTGATCCGCGTGTTCAACGACGCAGACTCAAACTTTGACATCGACGGCCCGACCACCCTCCGCCCGCGCATCGCCCTCGAGTGCACCGGCGTCGAGAGCAGCGTGTGCTCGGCCATCTGGAGCGTCAAGTTCGGCGGCAAGGTCTTCGTCATCGGCGTCGGCAAGAACGAGATGACCATCCCCTTCATGCGCCTCAGCACCCAGGAGATCGACCTCCAGTACCAGTACCGCTACTGCAACACCTGGCCCCGCGCCATCCGCCTCGTCCGCAACGGCGTCATCAACCTCCACAAGCTCGTCACCCACCGCTTCGCCCTCGAGGACGCCCTCAAGGCCTTCGAGACCGCCGCCAACCCCCGCACCGGCGCCATCAAGGTCCAGATCATGAGTTCCGAGGAGGATGTCGCCGCTGCTTCCGCTGGTCAGAAGCTGTAGTTGAACCACCCTTCACGAAAGAAATGAAAATGAAATTGCCTGCTTTTAGTTATGTATGTGTGTAAGTTTGTTTGCTTTGGTTTGGTTTCAGGGTACTTAGAGAGAGGTGACTGGTCGCCTTATACACCAATTAAATTGGATTTCTGGTATTCTTGTTCTTCGATTTGTCGTGCAAGTAGAGTAGAATGTCTTTGGTATGGTATTTGTTAGTGCTGCGTAAAAGCACCGTATAAAATCTTCATCGTTTACGCACGCAATGGACTAAATATGTTTAATAAGTAGTCAGTCTCGAAGAGTGTGAGGAAATGACTGAATCCAAGATCCGGGGGGCAGAGGAACAGGAACAAGAACAACGTAGTCAGTTTAGTCTACTGGCCCCGCAGCTCTAGCTTTTAATATAGATGCATAGATGCATGGGATGCGAACTGTCTCCCCGGGTCCTCACATCGTTTCTTTGCGCTGTGTGTTTGACTTTACAGGGGAGCGAGTGCACTCGATCTTATAGCCAGGCTAACGGGCTAACTTATACTAATCTGCATGAATACGATAGCCTGAGGGGGAGGGTGAGTGGAGCCGGGGGGGGATTCGTCCACTGGTACATGGATTGAGAGAGGTCTGGATGGTTGGTTTGGCTGGATTCGGAGGGATAATAGACCCCGCCGTACGGTCGGAGATCTGATCTTTCACTCGAACTAGAGACTGTGGATGAATGTGCTAAGATCTTCCGGACTAGGTAGGATTTGCATATCCAGGTTCAAGTTGGGTTGCTAATGCTGTATAGTAGAGAAGCACGAAGGTGTTATCGAAATTACAGAATTCATGCATTTCATGTATTCATCATTGTTGACGTTATATCCCTACAAGTATTGATTCTGGCTTTCCGAAAATGACGATATTATAGTTCTATAGTCCAGAAACTCAGACGCGATTGGCCAAAATCCAACCATCTTGACTAATCCGACATGAGCCACTCTGGAATCGCATCCTCGTCGTCCGGATCCTGTGATAGTAATGATGTCTCACTGTCTCTGCGTGAGGAGGGATCCGAGGCTTGGGATTGTACGGGGTATAGGAGTGGGTCAGGAGCGTCGGCTGGCGCATTCTCGGCCGGGGATAGCGCTTTGCTGGTGTCCTGTGCGGCGGAGGGGAGAGGTTCCTGCGAAGGTGCGCTATTATTGGGTCGATCGAGTTGGGCAGTGCGCGGGGTTGTGGAGGCCTCGCTGGTGATGTTGTCTGACAGTGAGGGTTCGATGGACTCCTCTTTCGCCTTCGGGACGACAACTAACGAGTAGCGCGGTGGTCCGGCTGGGCTTGGATGCGGAGGTGTGTCTCGAGGCGCAGCGGGGTCGAATTCCGATGTCGCGGTCTGTGGTGGGGGCACTGCAGGCGCAGTCGACATGCTAGCATTGCGACTTGTAGATGGCTCATCGTCCAGGTCCATGGGGCCTTGTGAGGGCGATTCTGGGAGGAAGCCGCCTCCTTCCATTGAGGCGTCTGGTGTCTCTGTGTCTGATTCCGGTATGAAGCCACCACCTCCCATCGATAGTCCTGCTATCTCCGTGTCTGACTCCGGTAGAAAGCCCCCTGCCATCGACGGTTCTGCTGTCTCCGTGTCCGGTTCAGGTATGAACCCACCATCTCCCGGTGTCTCTCCGTCCAATTCAGGAATGAAGCCTCCTCCCATGTCGTCATCCACAGGCCCATCGCCCTCCTCGCTTGGTTCAACATCCGCACCCTCGTCGACATCATCGCCCTCAATCGCATAGCCTTTGACCCGCTCCGCAATTCGAAGTTTTAAGAGCAGGTGCTTCCACGCTCTCAACACCTCTGCGGTCCGCGTTTCCAGCTCGTCATGCAGTCTTTCCTGCTCGAGGCCTTCGATGACCTCCTGAAGCGCTTCGCGATATTCCTCCGCAACAATCACACCAGTATAGACAGCAGTCCCGTGGCGTCCCTGGAAGGTGAAGCCGGTTACAGCCGCCGCAAAGTCAACCCCAAGCAGTCGAGCCGCATGCGCCGCATCCGGGTGGCCGATATGGATCCCACCGGCCGGGACCATGCTAGGTACGTAGACATCCAAATTCCCGTAGACGTTCTTGGGGACTCGTCCGTCCACAACGGGCGGCGGAACGTAGACCTGAGTCTGAAAGATCGCGTAGAGAGGGGTCTCCGGGGGTGGTGCATCACGCTCTTCGTCATCATCCTCGGGCAGTCCGCTAGCCAAAGGTTTGCGGGCTTTGACACGCTTCAACGGCTGTTCGCCCGTTTTGATATCTCGGCCCAGCCGGTACCATTTATCGGCGCTGCGCACAGTCTGGACGTCCGACCGGCGGTATACCGGCTCTAAGACCTGGGTTTTAGACCCCGGTTTGCCGAGGCTGACCTGTCCAATCACTCGCTTCGGATGAATGACCTCGCTCCGTCGTAGGTGGCGTTCCAGCGCGTAGACGGGGTGGTCCTTGAAATCTTGGATGTTGCGAGGCATGGGTTCGGCGGCGGTCTTGGCCGTGAGCTCACTGACTTCTAACTGGTCGCGGTCTTCGAGGAACGGTTTCTCGTAGACCCGAAGTGCGCGATCCCACCATGCTGCGTTGCGGGTGATGGACTCGACGCGGAACTTGCGGGTTTTGGCATTGAACGCCTTGCTGTAACGGCGGGTCACATCTCGAGCGGAGGCATCGTCCTCGAATGCCACCACGTAGCTTAGTAGATTGTTCGGATCGGTGGCAGGAGGCTCGAATTTGGACGGTTTCGCGAGGGACCTCGTGACTAATGGGTCGACAGGGATCCATTTATTGATTGCCTCGTTGAATGCTTCCACCCAGAACACCGGGTATGACGACTCTTGACTTCGAGAGTATGGAACTTCGATGTAGAGATTAGCATGTTATCATTTCGGTCAGGAAAAAGCATGATGGCCTACTTTCTCTGGGAGTGGTCGACGGACGTGGTGGTTTGAACCCTGGCCGGGTGAGTCGCTGCACACCCGATCGTGACTTGACCCGTGTTGAATCGTCCGAGGATTTCTCCGAGCTGTCTGCTGCCATGATAAATGTCTTGCCTGTCGATACGTTCGAGGTCATTTCCTTAGTGGCGCCCGAGAAGGGCAGAGGCTGCAGAGAGCAGACCAGCCGGGCCTCCACAGCTGCGGAACGTAGCAAAGCACAGAACAATTGTGCACCAAAATCACGAGATCCTTGCAAGGTTTTCGCTTGTTGCCTGAAATCTTCGAGCGACGTGAACACTTCGGCATTAGAGAGGATTGTTTCCTGGTCCAAGGTCAACCAGGGTACATTTACATCATGAAAGAGGTGAGTAATACCACTCTGTTCTTTAGAGCATCCGGGCCCTGAGCCCAATGTGGTCGCTTGAGGCCGGGCTTTGTTACTTTGAATCGTTTACTAAATGCGTCACTGAGCTGGTTCAGACCGTCTATGAACGTTGTAGACCTGGAATGCTCTGGTTTACTCTCGGGTGGGTGCAGCAGAGATATGACCTGCTTCGATATCATTCTCTTGAGTGCGCCCTAGTACGATAGTCAGAGCTGGAGAGCCGTTATAAGCTATTCTCGCATGCTACTGTCACAGGTGCCAACGATAATAGAACCAGAACATACCTGAAGCTCATCATCATTGCACCATCTATTACGAATCTGTACGTGGCGTAAAAGGCAGAGAAGATGGACTTTGTGGATGTCAAGTCTCAACCGCTTCTCTGCGGCCGTTATCGGCTGCCGTCTAAGTGCTCCTTTCCGTTTTTCACGATCTTGTGGTCGGTCCAAGGTGATTTGGATCGACGAGTCATCTGATAGCGCTTCGGAGACTGCAGGCTGCAAGCTGATGTCTTCCCACTCCATGTCCGACTCTTCGGACGAGGACGAGGGCGAGTCATACACCGTCTGAACCTGTCGGCTGGTGGTCTCTTCATTATCGACTGATGGCGGAGCCTTTGGAAGTTCTATTTGAGCGCTGAGCATCTGAGTTCGTCCTGCCATTTTGCGTCTCTTTGGTGTGCGGTCATCATCGTGGAGCTGAGGCTCTCGCGCCTCGGCCTCGGCCAGCATTTCCCTGTAGACTTGGGGAATTCGCTGGTCTTCACTCGATCCATGCTGTTGGTTTCGATCACTCTGAGTGCGCCGCGTTGAGCGACGGGCAGGAGTGTTGACTGCCATTCAAAGACACGGACTGTATGTACAGAGGGGTAATATGTACTCCGACGCGCCGAGGATCAGGCGGACATCATCCGCGAGATGGGATCTAGAAGCCTTCCTATGACGCAGTGGGCTCCAGGAGCACGTGATAGGTTTGCAGTGTTTGCAGGGTAGCTATCTCCCCGCTCGAGTGTGTTACCTAGATTGGACAATGAAATGCACCGAATCTGATGGATAACTGCTTGTTAATTGAGCTTCACTTGCAATCATGCTGTAGCGCCAGATTATCCGTGGTTTCTGTCACAGATTTGGCCTAAGGGAGTATGTTTTCGCTAGAGAAGCGCATATGGCCTCACTAGATAGTGGCACTGTATTGAAGATGACTATGTCCTGGGTATACAAGTCTATGGGCCAATTAATCACTTCAATAAACATTTTCTCAACATAGGAATCGAAACCTTTGAGTGAGAGAGTCCACGATGCAAGCTGCAAGAACAAATCCCCTACAAATAAACACCTTCCTCTTCCTCCTCTTGTCCCCCGCCTTGTGTATCCCCGGAAGCATTTTCCCTCGTCGAGGCAGCATTTGTCTGACTTGAATGCGTAGGGGCCTCATGTGTATCGCCATTTGTCTCCTTTATCTCGTCCAGCTCGATCCACTGTTGCCCGCGATTCTCGACCTCCGTTTTGAGTAGCGTGACCCTTTCCATCATAGATGTGAGCACATCTTTATTCTCTGTGATATAGCTCTCCAGCTCTCGCTTTTCAGTGTCACTCTCACACGACTCGTCGATGAAGGTCTGCAGTTCTGCGTTCGAGCGATGGAGGTGGGCGATCGAATTTCGGATCTCGGAGACCTTGGCGTAGAGGACGGGGAGGGGTAGCTCTTGGATGGCTTCGGCGAAGGCGGCCGGAGAGATCGGGAGGGACTCGCCAGACATGGTTATAGGTGTATTGGCCGCGTCACTGGTGTAGTGTGGTGTAGCAAGGGAGATTTTAGGAAGATTTGTGGAAAGAAAGAAGTGCTTTGTTTGTTCTGCGTGCTGTCAGTTGGTAGTCTGTTCTGATCCCCGTTGCGACAGATGATACCGGCGGTTTATCACCACGTGACGATACTGCGATAACGTTCGATGTTACTTTATAGCGAAAGTGTTGTGCTGCTTGTTGGAGCCACAGAGAGTTGGGGACATCAAAGGGAGTGAAACTTCAGATCTGAGAGATCAGTCACTGGAAGCAAACTACTGTTTTGTTGTGATTGTCCCCAGCGCTTTCTTGTGGTCTTGGTCTGTTCAGGTCAGCGCACGTTACCCAAGAATTCCCATTCGGAACAACTTCCGGCGGCCGGAGAAAATCGACCGATCCCAGCTTCCTTAGGATTTCTACTTGTCCATTGTCAGGTCAGCCCGCATCATTAATTTGCATTGTGGTAGCACGGTCTCCAACTACTGTCGCTCGCTATGAGCAATGTCTTGGGCATAGCATGGCGCGCTCCATGCCCGGGGCTAAGGGCCTCGAGCCTCTTCCTCTCCGTCAGCCCGAAGCCGCTCCCCCTCGCCAATTATCTGACTTCCTCCCTTCGGCCTTCGAGCTCACGCCACAGAAACCTCTTCTCAGCGCGCTCCTTCTGCTTCCTCCGTGATGCATCCGCGCTCCGCCACAGTCGAAACCCGCTCGTCTTCTCTCCGGCTCCCACTCGTTCGTTCCAGACCTCCGCCCCGCTCCGCTCCAGCAAGCCTCCTGCCGTGGACCATGGTGTAAAGCCTCGCCCAGAACCCTTCTCGCTCGCCGATATCAATGCCATCTTCGGAGCCCGTGCCAAGGTCTCCCAGTCCATGGGAAACCGGGTCCTCGCCGTGCTTCACGGCCGACGACTCAATGGTACCCTGGATCTGGATCTCCCCGTCGACATCAGTCGCTCGGTGCGGCCGCACAGTCTCGATGCAGCCCTGAGTTACCTTCGCGAGCATTACCCCATGGACGAGGATGCTGCCATTATGGCCCGTATCGAGCGTGAGGAGCTGGAAGAGGAACAGAAGCTCATCAGGCGGGCCGAGGAGTTAGGTCTTTACAAGCCCCAGAGTGGTCAGTACGAAGCCGAGCTGGGCGAGAACAAGGATGTCTCCGGAAAGAGTGTTTTCCAAGAGATGCGGAAGCGTAATGAAGAGCGACTTTTGGCCGAAGACGAACAAAAGCGCAAAGAGTGGTTGGAGGGTGCGGCGCAGGATCAGGAGAAGTACAAGCAAATGAGGGAACGGAACACTGCCCTGCAGAAGGTCGAAAATACCTCCGCTTTGGAACGTAAGAATATCAGTGACCTGATGAAGAGGAATGGCTAATTACTAAAATTTTGACTACTATATAGTCCGCGAGCGCGCGGATCCTCGCGAGCGCCCTCTTCTTGCCTGGGTCCAGAAGCACCACCTTCGTGCCATGGAGACTGACGTTGACGTGACTAAGATGACAACGGTACGTTCACCTTGCCTGTGAGGCATATAATCTTCCTCCCCAGCTCTTGCATGAGATGTGGTCTAACGATGCGAATAGAGTCGCCGGATCGTGCCTTCGCTCATATTTAGTCTGGTTGCCCTGGGTCTTTGCTATGCCTTTGCGGTGTTCTATGAACCTCCCGCGCGAGCAGATCGGCTATGGCCAGACACTCCTCGCGCTGCAGCCACGTTAATGGGTATCATCGGTATCAACGTTGGAATCTTTGCTCTATGGCGGGCATGGCCACCATCCTGGAGACTGCTCAACCGCTACTTCATCAGTGTTGCCGCTTATCCTCGCCCATTTAGCATCATTGGCAATGTCTTCAGCCACCAGAAGCCCTTGCATTTGAGTGTCAACATGGTAATGCTTTGGTTTGTTGGCACACGACGTGAGTCCCCTTGGCCTCCCTGCCATGGTCTTCGATGAACTAATCTTCATCATCTCTTTAGTGCACGATGAGGTCGGTCGGGGCGAGTTCTTGAGCTTGTACATGGCTTCCGGTATTGTCGGATCCCTCCTTTCTCTGTCGGCGCATGTTCTCCTGGGTCAGTGGACTGTCACCGCACTTGGAGCCAGTGGAGCGATTTCTGGAATTGTCGCAGGCTGGTGTATACTCCACGCAAAGTATGCATCTCGTTCTTGTTCGCGTGATAAACCATCATACTAATCATGTTCTCAACAGCGACAATCTCACCTTCTACCTCCTCCCGGAGGACTGGCAAGGAGTGGTCTCAGCCCGTGGGTGGTTTATCCTTTCCACCATTGTTGCCGCTGAAGTCGTCCGTCTGGCGATGACCTTCCGCGCCCCTGCCCTCGACCATTGGGCGCACATTGGTGGTTATATCACGGGAATCATCTGGGCAAGCTTTAAGAACGCGAAGGAGAAGAAGCGGCGGGAGGAAATGAGCTGGTTCCAACGGCTGTTCTCCAACTAGCGACGGGCCATCCCCGCATGCCACGCAAGCTAGGCTCACCGGAGCCTTGTAAATACCATCGCTGTCATCAGGCACATGTATACTAAATAGTACTTCGTTTCTTGAAGAATCCCTCACTTCTGATTGTATATGCTCACTCTATCCATCAATGAGGGGTCACTAGTCTCTGGGTGTTATGCCTTATGGCTAGCGTAAATGTCATCACGAATCGATAACAGCACTCGATCAGGTGGATTGAGTTTTCCGAGCTGCAGTCTGCAGGATCCCTTTGAGGGTGGGGCGGACGCCGTGGACCTGGTCGGTCCATGTGAGACCGCCCCGTTTTTTTTTTTTTTTTTTTCCCTTTGCTTGCTCGGAATCCCTCGGCACGCCCACGTATACTTGAACCGGTTTAAGCCCCGACGGCCCAGCAAGTCAAGCTCAACCTATGGAGATTAGAGGCATATCAAGTACAGCCCTATAGGGCGGAGCACCCACGTCATAGGATCATCTCGACGTCAACGAAGCGCGACGCAGCGCGACGCAGCGTGTCTGTCTGGACTAGAAATAAGTCCTATTGTCCATACTCGACAATCCAGGACCCGGCAAACCCCTGAATGCGATATCATCACCCCAAGTCCAATTCCAGACCTTAGGTGTCTCCTTCTTTCCACTTCCCAACCCCGGCAGGAACACTGACCACCATCAGGCCTCAGCTCCCGTCACGCTCCTCTCCGCGAACACCCAGTACAACCAACCCACAAGTACCACCACTACCACCACCACCACCACCACCCTCTCCCCCCAATGCCCCAAGAACCAAACACAATGCCCTACCAAGAATTCCCCGCCCACGAACGCGACCCTCTTCTAGGAGGCACCCACAACCCCAACACCACCCCACCACCACCACCACCAACAACAACGAACACCCAACTGACCCGCCTGCACGCCCACCTCACCACGCCGCTCACGCAGCGCTGGACCGACCTCCTCCTCCTGCTCTGCTACACAATCACCGGCCTGCTCGACTCGACGGCGGTCTTCATCTGGGGCTCGTTCGTCTCCATGCAAACCGGCAACACCGTGTACGCGGGCCTCGGGCTGACGGGGCTCGACGCGACGGCGCGGTGGCAGAAATCCCTGCTCTCGATCGGCAGCTTCTGCGCGGGGAGTGTGCTTTTTGCCGGGATTCACCGCCATCGCCATTTGGCCCGAAGTCGCGGGGCGCTGGCGCTCTCGTTCGCTCTCCAGACGGCGTGCATCGCGGCCGCGGCGACGATCACCAGCGTGTATCGGCCTGCCAAGTCGGAGGACCGGCTGGAGTGGACGGTGGCCGTGCCGTTGGCGCTCGTGGCGCTGCAGAGTAGCGGGCAGGCGGTCGCTAGTCGCGTGCTGGGGTTCTCGGCGTTGACCTCCGTCGTGCTGACGAGTATCTACTGTGATTTGTTTTCCGGGCCGGTGCTGCAGCGGTTCGGCTGGGTACAGGTGCTCAGGAATCCCGATGAGTGGCGGCGGGTGGGCGCGGTGGTGGGATTGTTGTTGGGGGTCGTTATCGGGGCGGCTTGGGCGAGGAGTGAGGCCGGGTTGGAGGGGGCGCTGTGGACGGCTGTTGGGTTGAAGGGGTTGATTACGGTGACGTGGTTGTGGTGGAGGGGGGAGAAGGTTGGTGGACTGGAGGAGTAGGTTCTTTTGTGGTGGAGATGCATAGGAGAAGTACGTGAGTGGGGGAGATTCGGGGGGGGTGGCTTGATGGAAAGCAAATCGAGACACGGACATACATACAATCAGACCGGGGGTGAGAGGATCAGCCTAGAGGGTCAGGATACTCCATGATACAACGAGACAGTGTAATAGCTGGGAAGTTCTGATAAAAGGTCATACATGCGTATAAATAGAGGTAACCAAGGGCTAAAAACACGAGGACTATTCAAAGTAGATTATATAAAAGGCGATTCTGTTAGACCTGTATCTAAGCCAACCGATCCAACAGTAGGTCTATGGTGATAGAACCATTCTCAATCAAGCCAACCCAGTGCCCTGAGGCTCTCTAATCATCAACGCGAACCTCTGACTCCCCTCCCCACCACGCTCGCTATAATCCAGCTCTACCTCCTCGACGACCTCCCACCCGTGCTTCAAATACGCCGGCACCCCCTCCATCGTCGCCTCCAGGTAGATCCGGGCGTTACAGGCGTCTGCTTTCTCAATGCCCCATTCGAGGAACGCACTCCCGATTCCCATCCTTTGGTACTCCGGCAGGACGCACAGCAGCTCCAGGACTAACCGTATCTCTAGCCGTCAATATTGCCCAATTCTCACACAGCGTAGCAGAATGAGTTGACATAAACTTCCTTAACCTTTTTTCAACAGAGTAGCAAAAATGTAAGGGATCAACGAACCAAAATCAGTCTCCCTGAGATGAGCGCCCCTACTCCGCGTGATCATCTCCTCGTAGAACGAGTAGGTACCCCTGTTCACCAACTCCGGGGCGTACGCCCACGCATCCCGCATCTGCGCTTGCGCGTCGCTGCTCAGACCGGTGCCCACGGCTCTCTCGCACCCATACACCGCCGGGATATGCCAGCGGCCGTAGGCGATGATGTCACCAGTCCTCCCAAGGACGCCCGCCAGGATATGGCACTCGGGGTTGGCGAAGTACTCGAGGGCGGAGACGGTTTTGAAGGTGTGGACGGCCCCCGGATCGCATCCCTTGTATGTGCTGCGCATGTAATTGGACGCCGGGAACGAGCGGATCTCCACGCGCACGAGGGCAGCCAGGTCCGAGGCGTGGGCATATTGGATGTCCAATGGTGCGGGTGGTGGACTGAGGGGCGTCATTTTTGAAACTGTGAACTGCCGGGTGAGCGTGATGGTCCAATTCCAGTGTAGCAGGTTTGCATTCGTATGGCTGAATGAGTCATTCATCAATCCCATGACGCGACGCATTGCGGTATGGGGGCAATGACTCACAGAGCGGTGAGAACTTGAGCTATAGTCAGAGTTTATGTGCTTTGTTTAAGATGTTCATACTTTTAGACGACTGTGTTAGTTATTCTAGGCTGCTTAGTAAGTAGTAAGTGGTGCTATATTGGACTTTATGTGAACGGGAAATTGTAGGGATCCATTCAACAGTATCTTATATTCTATACAATACTGAGAAATCTGAGTCATTGTAGGACTTGGCATAGGCTCTTATTTGAAGTATTTTTTCTTTTAAAAAAAAGGATAGTTGTTGTAGTATCCAAGCATTCAAATAATATCTTAGTCACAATTATCTCTCAGTAACTGTTAGATATAATAAACTACTCTGCACTCCTGTTGGATAATCTTACATCTTTCAAGGATGAAGGTGATACTTAAGCTCTTTCGCTCTGAACGAACCGTAGGTTGGTGTAAATGCCCTTTACCCCGCTTCCTGTTCAGGAAAGACGCGCAGGCTACTAGGTAAGCGGTAGGAGTAATGTGATGTGGTTGTTATATCTTACAAATAGGGCACCTACAGCGGGCGATTGAAAGTCACGAAAGCATTGAATAAGGGCTATCTCCGAGGTGCCTACCCGAAGGCTTGAACAGCATGAGCAGAAGTCACAGCACCTGAGTATTTCTCTTTGGATGCCATAAAGTAGGTAATTTACACATTGATTTGTATATGTGACTAGCTACGGAGACTTGGCACTGTTTCGTTTAACAAAGTCGGCGGGGAGCGGCAAATGACTACCATTCTTATCCACCGTCCCTGGGTATCTCGCTTGATGACCTGTTAACCTTATCCTATAAGTCATGAATTCAAGAACCTTTGAAATGTACAACACCTGTACAGATCCTTTAACACTAACGCATTCACGATCTCCAAACTACTTCAATCTTCTGATGCTTCATCCATATATAAAGTGAGGCTAAACAGTGATAACAATAATCGATATTGCTTGAAAGTGGTCAGTGCCCGACCGACCCTACACCTGGAAGACGAATACTGACCAAGTTAAAAAGTACCATGATAATGGCGACCCTGGCTATTCAAAGAAGGGTCGTGACCTGAATCGTTTCCGATGTGAATTGAAGGCTTACAAAAACCTGCGACTTCATGGGGTATGTCAAAACGGCGTGGTTCCGTATTTTTATGGTTATTTCGACGGACTTGATCCAGCACTTTATCACATCTGAATCATTCCGAAAATGACGTTTACAAGCCAAAGGCAGTCTTGCTTGAGTATTTGCCTGATGCAGAAGGGCTCAATTGCCTAAATTATTCCGACGAGCGCTTTGAGATTGCAATAAGAGGTTTAGACAATATCCATAGGGCTCATGTTCTTCACCATGACGTATGTCCCAAGAATATTCTCGTTGTACCTGGGAACCCAGAGCGAGTTGTGTGGGTCGATTTCGATGTTGCTATGACTTATCTAGATGCTCAGACCATGGCTACTCAGGCGGGAGAATACTGCGAATTTGAGACCGACCTAGCGCAAAGCTTTGGGGATCTTTTGGTATGTCTCATGTCTCGGAATCTTGACCTTGGTAGCGAGAAGCCTAACACAAGATAGAGAGAGGATCAAAAGCAAGGTCTTCCACCAAACACCAAGTTCTATTGACTTGACGTGCACAGCCCAATTTAATCCTATCAGCCAGAACGATTGGTTCAGGCAGAGAGTACATGACTTGGGTGTTTCATTCTTGCACCTGAACCGTGAGAGCAGTAATAGAAAAACGGGAAAGCTTGATCGACTCTTGGAAATACTCTGCATCTTGTATTGCATCTAAGAGATATTTGAATCGTGCCAGAGATTATTTTGAGGACGGACCAAGAAGATGTACACTTCGTTGAAAGTGTACTATCTCGGACAGCCTTGTTCGTCTGGTTTTCTGAAAACTGTGGATGCACCCTTCTCCATATTATACAAGACTAATGTATCCTTCATTCTGAGAATGACGTCCAGCAAGATGGTCTCTCTAGTACGACTCGTCAAGAAAGAGACTCTCCAGTGAGCCGTAGTCTATCCTCCCAAGTAACGGGTGAGAAGGCCGACCCACGTTTCAACGACTTCCCGCATGTTCGAAGGGATGGGAGATATGGCTGCAGAGTAATTTACAGGAAGAAGTAAGAACACTGGGCAAGTACTGGTTCCCTATGAGCAAACCTCCACCCCCACTTCACCATCTGCGAGAGATGCATATAAGCGATTAGTCAACCAGTTTCATCTGTAAGCCTCCAAAAGGCATGTGTCAGCGATTTGAAGTCTCAGAGGTGGGCTATTTGAAACAAGTTCTTGAATTCTTGGTGGTTCTTGGTTTTTGGGCCCAGTCACTGACGCAGCGGAAAACGGCGGAGTTGATCATTACTTGAATATTTTGCCAGCAGAATGGGCGTCAAAATCTTGCTGTAGGGAAAAGCCAAGGCACTTAAGCCTTTCGACCCTTCAACGAGAGAGATTGCGTTGTTGAGCTGACTTTTCTCTCTCCCACAGAACGTGAATAGTCGTGCATCAAGAGTTGTGCATCTCCTAGTGTGACCACTGTTGGATGGCCGACCCACCATCACGCAGGCGAGACTGCAGGATCCAACACGCGAGAACACGCGGAATGTGACTATGTTGCAGTTTCTAGGGGGGGTTACGACCTTTTACTCTGGACTGATGGAAGAGATGATTCCCAACCTGGCAACGATGAATTTCTCAAACAGCACAACAGTCATACAACCTAGTATAGTCCTCAACTTCGACATCCCCCAATCAAGATGTCGAGTCATATCAGACAGTTTCCACCGCATCCTTCCAGATCAACCCTTCTGGGACAGCCTTCCACTAACCCGCCTCGTCCAACATGGGCCGGACCTTCTGCCACTCTTCCCGGACGCGTTGAGCCTTCTCCTCACTCCTTGGGGTGATATTCACTGGGAAGGGCTTAGGCATCGCCATGAAGCCCTCCACCAGCGCATCCGGATCGGGCACCACCTCCCGTTTGGTGGGTGACTGGGTCGATGACTCGCTTGAGGTCGAACGCCCACAGCAGCCGCGAGATGGCGAGATACATCGACCGGTCCACGATGTGCATGCCTTGGCAGCGGCGGCGGCCAGCCCCGAAGACGAAGTGATCGCGTTGGAGCACGTCGGCATTGGTGGCCGCCTCCTCCGAGGTCTGGTGGTCGTCGATATAGCGCATTGGCTCAAACTGGCGTGGGTTGGGATACCGGTCGGGGTCGGAGTGTAGCGCCCTGTTTGTGAAAATCTTTTGTTAATTCTTTCCCCGCTCAAGTATTAGTCCCTTTAGTGCTTACTACAATGCACCAAGAGGAGCTGGAGAGTAAACCTACCAGACATTCATAATCACCGTTGACCCCTTGGGGATCCGATATCCGAGATACGTATCCTCCTGCGTCGTGGCGTGCGGAATCCCCAGCAGGAAGCCGGGCATCCATCGGAGGGTCTCCTTCGCGCAGGCGCGGATGTAGGGCAACTCCGGCACGTCGTTGAGATCGGGCAGTCGGTCGCCGCAGACCCGGTCCAGCTCGGCCTGGGCGGCCCGCGCGACGTTAGGACAAATCACCATCGCCTGGATGAAGCCCACCAATATGCTGGCGGTCGTTTCGGAGCCCGCCTGCAGCAGCGCCCCGCTGATGTAGGCGGCCATGTCGTCGGAGAAATTCTCGGTTTGTTGCATGCGGACCAGGTCGACGCATACACAGGGCTAGATGGCTCGTCCGTAAGAGCGAGGAATTTACATAAATTTTGGATGAACATACCTTGGCCGTGCCATCCTGGAGTCTTCGCTTGGCGTTCAGATAGTACTCTCGAAACAACTGGCACTCCCGGCGGTGCAACTCCCTCGCTTCCTGGACCAGCGGCAGCATGCAATCCGGCAGGGAATGGAGGATAGGAAACAGATCTAGCAAGCTCGCGGCCTGAGGGAAAGGTGGAGGATTAGCTTAGCTTGAGCAATCGGGTGCAACGGTTGCGATCATGTGAAAGACAGTAACAGTACCGTGGACGTGGTAATCTCGGAATTGCGATCGAAGATCTACAGGCCTAGTTAGCCTGCTTGTCCGCGGTTTGATAATACCACATGTGAGGAACATACATCAAAGGTCTGCTTGAACTTCGGATCCTCGATAGTGGTGGTCCGAAATCCAAAGGCCATCTGCGTCGTCAACGAGCCGGAATAGCGGCGGATGTGATTGATGAAATGCGCTGGCGCCTCCAGCATGCTCTTCAGCATGGCCCGGTTCTCAAGGTCCTGATACGGGACATAGGTCCGCGCCGCTGCCACGTTGAGGATGCGATGCGCGAGCTGTCGAACTGTCTTCCACGTCGAGCCATCGTCCTGTCATGGCTCAATGAGCACCATACCTAAAGAGGTGAAGAAGCAGGGAGCACACACCATGAACAGTACTCTCAATCCACCGCTCAGCACGGCTTGAGCCATGTAGCTCTCTGGCCGAGAGGAGTAGATTGCCCCGCGTCGGTCGAGGAGATCCTTGACGGCTTGGGCGGAGTTGAGCACAATCACGGGGCGTGTCCCGAGCACGAGAGAGTAGATAGGACCGTATTCACGACTCCATTTCTCAAACTGGAGATGACTTTTCTGGGAGGGGAACTGGTGCAGGTTGCCCAGTATCGGGAGCGTGGGTGGTCCAGGGGGCAACGCTTTGGGTCGTCGGCCGATTTTGCTCAGTGTCCAGACCCCGCTGAGGAATATAGCAAAGACAACAGCGTAAAGAGTCTTACTGAGATCGAAATACGTATTCACGCTCATGGTGAAGTAGCCTGGTGTTGTCATGGCCAGTTAATTCTTTTCGAACGAAAGCACCAGATATGGTTAAATATTTTGCGAGATATATCGTGTGTACTTGTGCTAAGAACCGCCGAGGTGGGAGGTGAGCGGCAGCCTAGGCGAGGCCTCAGGACCGCCGTCAAAAAGGATGAAGATAAGACTGACAGACCCCAGTGTAATGCAAGTCCTCAGGAAATGGCCTGGTCTAGAAGAGTCCAAAAGGGTTGCACGAAGCCTCAAGAAAAGCCACTGGGGGAATTCCGATTTTCCCCTCTTTCGAATGCCATGGTAAGGCCATTCAAAAGGCACTGCAGTTCCTACCATATTCCAGAAAACATTGGTCCCCCAACTCTGTTACCTGTTGTACGTGATGAACTCTCAGAAATCTTCCTCCTCTCAAGACCCTACGCCATGTCATCTACGAGCCCAGAAGTTCGCACTTGTCACCGAGTAACCTCTAGTCAATCTTTCCCTTTACTCATCGCACCCCCATGCTTACTGGTTCCCATCTTGATGCGGCCAGGGCGGGATTGGCGAAGCACTGCCCAGTGATGACCGAATGTGCTCGCCACGGCATTCATCTCATTGTCGCCCTTCTGCCTAACCCGTCGAGCCAGCATCTGTCCGCAAAAGGCATCACCTTCTTTCCCCTCGATGTGACGGTCGAGGGGTCAGTGGTAGAGCTCAAAGCCCGCATCCGGGAGCTCGCGGGCGAATACCTCGACATCCTGGTGCATTGCGTGGATGTGAACCAGCTGGATGCCAGCAGGCTGACTGAATCATTGCGTATACGATGACGGCTATCGACACGGACGTCAGCGCCGTCCAATGCATGTTCAATGGGAACCTATTTGGACCGATGCGGATGGTGCACCACTTGCACGACCTCATTATTCCGGCCAAGGGAACGATTGTCAACATTGGCTCCATTGATGGCATTGTTCCTCACTTGAATGGAGGTAGGGCGGTTCTTATAGTACCGGTGACTTTTTGAGCACCACTTCCCATAAGAGAGAGAGAAAGCAACATTGCACAATGCCACCGAAGCTGGCCTTCACCACTGGTTCAATACACTGCATGTCGAAATGGCCCCTTCGAGTAAGTCATCCACCCCCTCCCCTTCACTTTTCCTTTGGAACAATCCCTCAATTGAGTTTTCGGCTCCAGCGTTCGAGTCATCACATTATGTTTCTTCTCCCCGCCTCTTACCTTTTCAGTTGATCAAATCCCACTAAGAAATCTTGCATCGAGCCATACAGGTGATTTCCGGCGAGGTTGATACCAACGTCCTGAAAAGAAAAAATGACGCGCATCGACAACTCCCAGAAGGGAAATCCCTCATCTCATATCTTCATCCTTGAGATGTGGTGTGGTCCTCGTCTTCAGAAGGCCGGAACACAGGCTCCTATCTAAATCTGCTCACCATGAAAGATCACTTGACTCATTTTCAACGACCTCGAATTGCTGTTATATTACGGCGAGCCCACGCCATTTTTCCTTGCCTGTCAGTACGGTCTACGGGAAGTCGTCGAGATACACTTGCGGAATGGGTTTGCATCGACCAACGTTGCAACACATTCAGAAGGCGATCGGTCCCTTTTCTGGAGGACACAATGGGATCGTTATAACCCTCCTAGAGCACGATATAAACCTGGCAGTGACAACGGAGGTGCTGATCGCAGCTACGGGATGAACAAGGATGCATTGGAACTCCTGATGAGTCGAGCCATTTTCATTGAATTGACACCCAATCTTATGGCTATGACAAAGGCTGAAGATAGCGGAGTGATCCTCCAAACTGTGATCGCTTCCAATTCCCCCGGAACAATCACGGAGAGTGTGGTCGGAGCTGCAACGGACAATTAAGGCTGTCGGCACCCAGATCTTGCAAAAGCTGCTCCAACGAGCCCCGTGAACAATCTCCGTCCCCGAGCCAACAACCTATCGTGCCTGTAGTGAAGATCCCGACTTACTAAGATTGATGCTGGACCGCTGGCCGGACCCTCCTCTCTCCGAGGCCTGCTTCACGAAAGCGGCGGGCAAGGCGGGGATATTCCGGGTGATTGTGGACGCCCGACCGGCCCAAAGGTTCGACGATGCCTTCGTACTGCTGGCATGCAAAGGGGAAGGTCGCCAAGCGGCCGCGGTGATGAAAATGGTTCTTGCTCGCCAGCCCGACCCCGCTGTCACTGAAGAGATGGTGACCGCAGCTTTGAAGAATCGACATCACCCGCATGAACTCCTGGTGACACCCCTGTCCCACAATCCGACCTTGGAGGTCTCCCCGGGGCAGATTCTCCTCGCTGTGGACAACGGGACTGAGGCGCTCAAGGCCCGTTTCACCACGCGGCCGCATCTCCGCATTGTGTTCGATGCCTTTATTGAATGCTGTGTCGCAGCCCGATGACGTCCTCGGTCCATGGAGCTTGCCCTATCACGATACGAGTCAAACAACCTGGGGGAGGGTCTCTTATTATCGCGACCTCCAGATGTGTGCCAGCGGTGCTCACAAAACTGTTCAGCATGGAGTAGTTCTACGAGCAAGGCGAACTACTTCTACAACAGCTATTGCACTTGTCGCGCGCCTTTTCAACACTCTTTCTAGCCACTGTCGCGCTGAGCCCTGATCTGATTGCCGCTTGTTGTGGCTTTGTTGGTAGTTTGGCAGAACGTCGAAGTACGGCATGAGATATACCATGCCTTGGGCTGTCGTGGCTGCCCTCGATCAGCTCTGACTTGAACTTTCGAATCACTAGAGCAATAGCGTGTATACTCAATGAACATGATTCAGGAAACTAGAGAATCCTACCGTAGCGCATTTAGTTGCATCCGAAATGGAAGAGCTTGCGATGTTCGCTTCTGCCCGCATCAGAATCAAGACTAACTGCAACTGGTTAGTGCCTGTGCCTCGGGAGCATGAGTAAGCGGATTTGAAACATCTTTTGGGTTGTGGCGTTCGGGAAAATGTAAATGGTTCGAACCAGACAGCTGCATTCGCGGCATAATTTGGCTCTAATACATTCTCTGAAACTCCTGCGGTGTGCATAATTTTATCCTCCGGTGGTCGGGAGAATAAAGCCAAGTGCTCATGTTGAGAACGTTCGGGTGGATGCGATGGGGCTAGACTGCGATTAGCAAGGCGTCTGCGCCGCCGGCGGCACTGGTTGAGTCCAGGGAGTAAGGTGTGCGCACAACTTCAGTATAATGCGTATAAGCATGAATCCATCTCACTTTGTGTCTCGGGTTTGTCGAGTCTGAGAATCAGAGGCCAGGGTCTTCACGGTGGCTTAACGGCCGGGTGGTCTCTTCAGAACAAACTTCGAGTGACCAGAGTCGAGCAGCATGTTTACCATGATCCAAGTCTTCCTGCTCCACCCTCCGGTGGCTGCTCGCGATGAGAGGTCAATGGCTGTCCCAAATAAACTTTTGCCTCAGTCGCATTCTCCACGATCCCCTGCCAAAGAATCAATCAGGGCTGCAACGGCTCTACCGTTCGAGGTTGGCTTGCACGACTATCCCGCGGGCACGCGATCAAGAGACTGAGCCACTTGTGCTTGTGTTGTCCGACCGTCAGAAAGGCATAAACCGCTAAATACCGATCACAAGGCATAGTCAGCTTTGTCCACGGCCGTATTCGTATACGTTCACATTCACAGTGGGTGGGTGGGGGGGGCTGTGTCTGAGAGCAAAGCAGGCTTGAGTGGAAACTGGCGAGGCTGGAAGGGAGGAGTGGAACAGGGGTTCCGATGGATTTTTAGGGATTTTAGGGATTTTAGTTGGATTAGTGTCTAATCATACCAAGTAAGGATTCCCACTTGGCAACTGCGCCGTCCGGAAGGCTAGTCCCAAGTAGTGCCAGACTCTCACTCGCCGCCTTCAAACTCCTGCGCCCTCTTGAATCTTGAATCACTAATAGCAATCGGCCTCTCTGAGCCTCTGCTCTCTCTCGAGTTGCTGCTGACGACGACGACCACCATCACCTTTTCTTCCCTTACTCGACCCCACTCTCTCCCCCCTTATTCCTTTTTTCTTTCTCCATCGATCTTTCATCCAAGTCTCCGCCTTCGTTCTTCTTTTTCTTCGCGTGTTCTTCGTCATTCTGTGGAACTCGGCTTCGCTTCATGCTCCCGACGTCCCTGCGCCCGTGAACACAAAGCGCCCTGTACATACCGTTTCATCACCAGCATCGTCGGTCGGCGTTGGCGTCTTGAGCCCTGCTTCCGTTCATTCGACTTCTGTATATACTTCTCTTTCGTTTCGATATACGAACGGAGACTAGCTGCGACAAGGGTCTTTCCTGCGAATAGGGGTAGACCACGCGACACGCACCTTTTCGGGAGGAAACATTGCACAGGATCGACGCAAACCGCATCTGAACGCCGATGCTAGGCGCTTAAGCCCGGAACTCAACAACGGTTTCCCTTCTTCAACTCATCTTTTGTACCACACACTCGCTGGAACTCACCATGGCATCGAGCAACGAATCGACCTCGGTCGATCTGGGGAAGCCCCAGTTCGCTTCTCACTCATGGGTTGAGCCGATTGTGAGTGCTGCTTCATTTGTTTACACTGTCACTTGGAGCAATCGTACTAATTCTTGACTCAGATAGTCGTCAGTATCATGCTTAGCTCGCTATACTTCAACCGTCGCAGGGACTTCAGCATCTTCGGCAAGAACAACAATCGGGATCTAGGGTCGTCGCATCCGTTGTACATGAAAGATGAAGAGGCGAACGATTCGATTGACAATCTATCGGAGGGGGAAATCAATGGACAATTCCAGTCGGGCCCCGGAGTCGGCAACAACTATCCTCCCAAGCGTCGGAATTGCCTGTGGTTCACGGTCAAGACGCCCAACTCGTCTCGTTTTGCCCGTCACTTCCACAGCCGCATCCTGCAGAAGTTCCCTTTCCTGGTTGAGATGTTCTACTGGGTCATGAACTATCTCTTCTACTCCTGCACCAAGGCAGTGGCCCAGTCCCTGTCTCCCGCCGGTCGCGACGTCGTACAACTTGCCCAGGACCATGCCATCGGGGTTCTGAACCTGGAGCACAACTCGTTCCTCAGCATCTTCTTCCCCATCGAGGAGGCAGACTTCCAGGCCTTCTTCATCAACGGCCATCCGAACTGGATGACTTTCTTCAACCGCATCTACTCCCTCGTCCACATTCCTGGAACGGTCGCGTAGGTCTTCCTGGTGATGACTCGGTGGAACATTTGAGGACTAATGTGCTTTTTAGTTACCTCTCGTGGTGGTACTATGCCGCCCCCGACTTCGACCGCTACGCCATCGCTCGCCGCACGATGACCCTCGGCAACTTCATGGCCTTCATCATCTTCTGCTTCTGGCCCCTCATGCCGCCCCGCCTGCTGCCTGAATCCTTTGGGTTCCACGACACCGTCCGGCAAGAGCATGCGGAAAGTGTCTGGGTCGGCGGCAAGATGGTCAACCAGCTGGCGGCCATGCCCAGCCTGCACTTCACCTACGCCTTCTGCATCGGCAACACCTTCTTCTACCACTCCGGGGTCTTCCACCGCCTGTTCGGCAAGCGGTCGGCCCGCATCACCCTCCGGGACATCTTCCTCGTCATCCTGGGCGTCGTCTACCCCATGCTCGTGCTGTCGGTCATCGTCGCCACCGCCAATCACTACTGGCTCGACGCGGTGGTCGCCACCTTCTCGGTGGTCTTCTCGTTCTTCTGCAACCGCATCTGGATGATCCTCCTCCCGCTGGAGGACATGTTGCTGTGGGTGCTCCGGCTGGAGAAGCCGATTCCCACGACGGGCAGCCGACGCCGCGGCGGGCCGACCGATGATGAGAACGACCGTGACGGTATCGAGTACCGTCCTCTATGATATATACGACCGGCAGCCGGTCCGCCATATAACGGCAATGAAACCGAGCAGTTAAAATTATATGCTCATTGACAATAGAATTTAATCGTTTCTGACATGTTCAACTTGAATGTTGGTGTTTGAGTAAGATCGAAAGTAGACCGCTGCCTCGTAAGACAGCCCCAAGATAAGTCCTGTTGGTATCATCATGATCATCATACCACCAAGTCCGAGTCCCCCCCCTCCAGCCCCAAGCTCCACGCCCTCCGTATCTCGGATAGTCCGTAATCACAGCAACCCGGCAGGGAGTCAAACACACGCAACCCAGCCAGAGATTAAACCAACCTCCCCTAAACCCCCGAATTAATCAAAAGCAACTAATAGAGACATCCAACGCAAATCCACCTCCCTAGATAAGTCAACGTTGGGGCATTCCAACCCAATCCCCAATCATCAGCGTAAGATCCATTGGGGCGGTGATAGCAGCTATCAGGCGGCCCGTCTGCCAGCCCGTCAGCCAGCCAGCCAGCCAGCCAGTCTCCGTACCTTCCCTACAGGACACAGGACAGGACCACCATCCCTAATTTCCACCCCTGTCCCACTGGCCCGGCTCACAGCTTACTTTAGGCAGGTACAGTACTGTACCTAGTACCTTATCTATTGGAGCCGGGGTGAAGAGACAACATCCATCCCAAGCGCAGTCTCCCTGTCTGAATGGAATTTCAAATTCGCCACGGAAGAGCAAAGCGGAGATTCACTCAAGTCGTGTAAGTTTCTCTCTTCTCTGTTTGCTTTTTTTGTTTAGTCGGCACTTTAGGGATGATGGCAGGGATGGGGGATGATCCCAAGGGGAATTATGCTTTGATGGACAATGGGGGATACGAGGTGTGTACCTAAGTTTATGTGTCAATCAGTGAGTCGGCGTGGACATATCGGTGCGGATCCTCTTGTACGATTCTCTACGATTTGCAGAGTAAAGTAAAGTTCATGGAAAAAGTGGGGTTGTCTTCAATTTGGCCTGTCAAGGTATCGAAACATAAAGATCATGATCATCATACTCTGAAGAAGGGAAGTAGCGTGTCATAGGTCATGATATGACGGTCCTAGCGCTGTGGGGGGGGTTGCAAAAGTGGTTGTTTCAAAAGAGGGAAATCGTTGGTTTAAGGTAGCCAGCCCTAAGGGGGAAAGAAATGAAGATCCGGAGTAGCGGTGGCTACACGGATGAAAAGAGGGTTTCAAGAAAGAAAGAAAGAAAAAGTGAGAAGAAAGTAGAAGATCTACTGGTCCATGCCAGGTAGATCAAGATGGAAAATGAAGTTGGTCACAATCTACGAGTAATAAAAAGGAGACGGGGTGGGAGTCGGGGTTGGGGTTGTGGCTGGGATTGAGGAAGGGATGAGACTGCCAGTCACACTGGCGACACCCACCCGGTTGGCACCCAGGGTGTTGGTGGGACAGGCGGTGCGCAGACCCTGCGACAGCGAGGCCAGGCCGACGGGGCCGAGCTTGTCGATGGTGGTCGGGGCGGGCACGGTGCCGACATAGGCGTTGAAGTTGTACAGCCCACAAATGCAGGTGTCGACGATGTCCTTGAGGCTGGTGTCGCTCATGACATTCTGGCCGTTGCGCACCAGGGCGAACCGCTGCGGGCCGACGCCCATGGGCACGGTGAAGGCGCTGGCGCCGGCGGGCGCGCTGAAGCTGCGGCTGTTCTTGCCCGAGGCGACCTGCACCGTGGCGGGCGACTTGAGCAGCGCGACCACATACACCGCGTCCTCCATCGTCTCCCACCCGTTCGGCCGCCCGCGGAAAAAGTTGCCGCTCGAGTTGTTCGGGCTGCCTTCCATCGTCGTGTCGGTGTTGTCGCAACTGACTCCCTTCGGGGTCGGGCGGTACCAATAGATCAGCTTCTCCTCGGTGATGTACGGATCCACCGTCTTCGCCCCGGCCTTATAGGCTGCAATGAAAGGCTTGGACATCTGCAGCCAGCCGTCGTGTGGCCTATCACGTTGAAAAGCCGTTAGTGACCATCAATGATCTGAAACAAGACAAGAATGAAGAATTGTCAGAAACAGGGAGGAGGGGGACAAAAAAACTGAAACTCACATATCCATCACCCATTTAGAGGCACCATCGTCCGTGTGGGGGGAGGACAAGGGACCAATGTAATGCGATTCTCCATAGTCATTCCAGGTGATGATCTCGACAAATCGAGGGCCAAGACTCAGGATCTCCCGCCAGCGGTTGTACCAGAGCAGATCGCCGGGGAACACCCAATTTTTGCTGTAGGGCACCTCGCCGCCAAAGTGCGTGAAGAACCAACCAGATGCCGCTGCGATTAATTGAGTCAGTTTTTTGAGTCATTCTTATCTCCTCTTTTCGAAGTGGATAATAGGTAAGGCCAAACTTACGAGCGATATACCCCTTCCCTCCAAGCGCCTTGGTGTATGATTGGTCTCCCTCGGTGACCGAGACATTGCGGCCGGCGCTTGGGGCCTTGTTGTCGCCATTGTTGTCCCACGCCATCCAATTAAGCGCCCCATCGATCTTGCTGAAATCCCCCTGGCCCGGGTGGAAATTCGGCGCAAAATACACATCCGTCCCAGATGCCGCCTTCATCTGCTGAATGTCCAAGCCATCGCCCGCAAATGAGGAGACAAATACTTTGCCGTCCACCTTCAACTGGGCCGGCCGGTTGCCGTACTGCGCAACTTTCTGCCCGACCGTCGTGGCCTGTCCGGTATTGTACCAGTTGAAGTCAAAGGAGATGAAGACTTTCATGTCATTTCGGGCGGCGGACTCGTATGCAAAATTCAGCTGCGTGTCGGTGTAAGGGTCCACTCCGATGTTTAGCGCAAAGGCGTCAATCCCCAGCGCCTTTGCGCGTTTCATGTCGTCGTCATAATCAGCAGCACTATTCCGATTGCTGGTAATGCCGATCTATTCCATTGGTCAGTCCTAAGATTCAGTTTTCCACAATCCCCTCGCAGACGTGTTTCACCCACCATGAAGTGACAGAAAACGAGTTTGTCATTCGCGGCGATAGTCGAGTTGGAATCGATGGGGGCACTGCTCGCCAGGGTAGCCAGCCCGGCAAGAGCATAGAATGGTAGCTTCCAGAGCTTCATCTTGTTGTAGATTGTTCAAGTAGGATTGGAGTGAAGGAATGTATAGAACTGAAAACAAAATCAAGGTACAGACACAGACTGTAGTAGTAGTAGTGATGTAAAAAGGAATGTGGGCAGAGGATCAACCCCTTATACGGTCCAGAAAAGAAAGAATTGCAGACGGGAGAAAAGAGAGTATAGAAAAGAAGAAATGGGTGTTAGGTCAAGAAGCGAAGAACCAGAGAGCAGGGCAGTATTTATTGAGGTTTGTCTCTAATCGCTAAGAAGCAGTGGCTGCATAGCCCGATTGAACCCTGAGTTTCAGGAACCGGCGGGTGGGAATCCTTCAAAGCCCCCAACAAAGAATGCTCCAATCGTAAGACGGAATTCTCCTGTTCGATGTCAGACTTGAAGCTTTGATGATTTGCGCTTGTTCTAATCAACGAAACTGAGCTCTACCACGCTCATCTTATATCGTCAGCGGTGATCATGGTCCGGCGAATAAAACCAACGCCCCCCAGGAGATAGCATCATGGGGCCAAAAAAGCTCTCCCAACGGCGTTGGTCCTGTGAGACAACGAGTAACAGAAGACACTGCACTGAATAGCGTCTAGCAGTCCTTGTCATTTGCTCTTAGATGGTCGTGAATTGCCGCACTAGAAGGAGGATGGACCCTGGGACGGGGACGAACCCTGATCGATTCCCAAAAGGGTAATTCTAGGATTCGCGATGCTACAGAAGCATCGCAGTCAACCGGTCTGTTACCGTCAGTGTGATCATTTGAGAGCATCTGATTTGAGTTTCGAAGCTCGTCCAGCATCGAGTATTTACTAGACAGATCAAACGAACGGGAAAGGGCAAGAGCCACCGATGAAGCCGAGCCTTCTCATCGACATCCAAGACGGCTCAGAAGACGACGGTGAAGTGCTTTGCTTGCCCAGATGAGATAACACAAAACTAGCGGTGATAAAACTTGAGCTTGTGCCACCCAGGATTAAAGGCGAGTTGGAGGGTCTGATTGGCGCTGACATTTTCCGACGTGATACAGACGGATGATCTTAATACTTCGAAACAAGCAAGCTGCGGGAAGCCAGTCACTCCGTCCAACGCGCTTTCACAAAGCATGGGCATGGGCGCGCGCGGACGCTCTGGCGGATGCTTCGTCCATATTTTGCGCGTTTTCAGCCCAATGCAACCCCGCGAGCACTGCATATATGCACGAAGAGTTGTGGGTTCTGACTTGCTTTTTCTTGCATCCCCGGCATGACATATGCGAGAGCTGCGGGGTAACATGGCTGGCATCTCAGCCACGCGATGCCATCACCAGACAATCGGAAGATATGCCAATCCGTTTGCCACTGCCTTGGGAGGTTGTCGAAGCCGTGAGATTTGCTTGCGATGCTACCCGGTTGAGGCTTTTGTGGTGTATCTCGATGTAGACGGGCTGACCTGCAGGGGGAGGAGGTGTTAGAAATGGGCTTACCCTAACCCCAACCCGCGAGGCGTGTGTGACAAGGCACCATGTGACTCTATAGTCGTTTGCTTCAACTTCCATGACTGGATATGCTCTACAGTCTTTTCTTGAGTATCAAGTGTCCCGTTGAACAGGAATGGGATATAACCCTCCGATGTTTAATATCTTTCGCTTAGCAAGGACCGAATGGCTGTAGCTCATTGAGGGTGCAACCTTAGCAACAACACTGGCACGAAAACTCAATTGTCTAAGCCAGGTAGGCGGGTTCGACTGGATATGAGATAATGAAAATGATCAAAATGGATTTCTGCATACTAGAGGAAGGGTAGTAGCGAAAGAGTACGCCGTGTGTGAGTGTGATAGAATAATTCATTGAGTATCGTAGATGGACTGCCATCACTCATCACCAATTGTATCTCACAGCCATCAACTTTCTGCAAGCGTCGAGAACATGGGGGTATAAAGGAAAGGGAACGAAGAGAATCACAGAAAGAAAGAAAAAGTCATTTCCAGAGGCCCCTCGATCGTATATGAAACCCTTTATGTTATATGTTTCAAACTTGACAACGACATTGAAGAAGGAATGCTCGAATACCCAACAATGAGAAGTAAAGGGAGGCCAGGGTGAGCACTCAAGGATGTACATTAGCATAATAGAATCTTTCTTAGGGCACTACAAAGACAGACTGTTTAAAGGCTACAGCAAACAATAACGAAATGGAGAAGGAAGAGGAGCAGTGGTGCAAACCAAGCAAACCAGACAAACGGCGCATAGGGCCGGAAGAAAGAAATTCCAGCGCCCGCATTGTCTGAGGGGAGGGGCGGGACGACAATTTCTCTTTCTTGCGTTCACTTCATTCCGGACTCGAGAATACCCTCGGCGGTCCTTGATGTGCTTCTCGCCTGTTGACCGTTTTCCTCCACAAGAAAAGTCAGTGCTCTCTCTGCCTTGGTTTATGTGTTTATGTGGTTCTGTGTTTATGTGGTTTTGTGTTTTTGAGTCTAAAACACTCTCTTTCCCCCTTCCTTCCTTCCCTCCCACTCAGCTTCCTTGCCTGCCTAAGGCTCCTTCCGCTTGTCCCCCATCTGTTGTTCCCCGCTTTCCTTCTCCACTATTCAGTTGTTCAAGATCAGATAAGGATCTACTATGTATAAGCACGCGACCTACCATCAACCCTTTCTCTCTTCCTCTCTCTCTTCCCTTTCGACTTTTACCTCCCTAGTCAACTGACCATGTGAAACAGTACACTGACCGGCTCGGTGCCCGTCCTAGGGCATCAACATGCCTGCTGTCCATGGCGACTTAATAGGCACGGTGATCCCCACCGATAAAGAGCTGCCGCCGGACATTGTTCCGCGCCAGGTAACGCTCAGGGACCGCGTCACTGTCGCGACTCTCGTGCCCTTCACATCGGCGGCGATGGTGCCCCGGTCCCTGCTGGCGTACTTGTCCGAGCAATTAAATAAGGAGATCGAGGGTGGTGACACTTATGCCATGATCGATCCCATCCCTCTGGAACAGTTCGGATCGTATTGGTTCTCCAACTTCGGAGCTATTATGCTTCTGGGAGACATTAAGAGTGTGCAGGACGTCCAGACAATGGGCCGTCAGCGGGCCAATTGGGCCAAGATCTGCCTGGGTAGTTTCAACATCAGACCCAACTATCCGGGCCGTAGTAGTCATGTCTGCAACGGCATGTTCATTGTCACCGATGCGGCTCGCAACAAGGGTGTAGGTCGGCTGATGGGGGAAGGGTACCTCGAGTGGGCTCCTAAAATGGTCAGTATATACAACACAGACCGGACTTCCAAAGCCAAATGGTTGGACGGTCACCCGAATCGGTTCCATAAAGTTTCCAGGTGACGCCACTCCCCTTGCCTCCGGGGGGGGATGTGGGGGGGGGTGGTGCGCGCTTGGCAGATGCCTCACCCGTAGAAGTCTAACATTGAATAGGGATACACATATGCTGTTTTTAACCTGGTCTACGAAAGTAATGTCGCGTCCTGCCGCCTGTGGGACGCTCTGGGCTTCAAGCGTATCGGGAGGGTTCCCGGAGGCGGGCGGCTGATGTCCAACCCAGGCCAATATGTCGATGCCATCATCTACGGCCGCGATCTCGGTCCAGATGGAGAGGACTCGGCGACACAGGATCGGTTCGACAAGATCCGGTATTATCTCAAGCATTCCAAATATCCCCGCGGGGCAGATCGAGCGGAGAAGAGTCGGCTGCGGAGCGCCGCCACCCATTATAAGCTGATCGGGGACACGGACGGGACTGGCGAGAAGTTGATGCTCAAAGACAAGGAGGTCGTGTCGGATCCGCAGCAGCAGTACGACATTGCCCGGGAGATGCACCTCCAGCAGCATGCCGGCATCAACAAGACGACTGCTGCCATTGCCGTCAAGTATCACTGGGTTCGTATCAAGGAAACAGTCAGTCGAGTGATCCGGGATTGTCCACAGTGCAAAGAAACTCTCAAGCCAGCCGTTGTGAATGGTTTCATGAACGAAAGCTCGCCGGAAATGGACGACGAGATCGAGGATGAGGAGAACGAGGAGATGGATGATGGAATGCACGTTAATCCCACCATACCGACCAGCACTCTCATGGGGGCACATGCCCTCATGGACCATACGGCCGACCTGGATGCACATTCGGCCCAGAACCCATTCGTAACCACCCATCCTGGCGTTGTGCCGGGGACGGTGGACTCGATCACTGACTACACCGGCATGCCTCTTGACCCGCAAATCATCAACATCCACCAACAATTGCCCCGATTCCACCCCCATGACCCCATTACCGACGCCTACACCCACAGTGCACATGCATTACACGGTACAAGTTTTGAAGAAGAAGTGCGACATCACACGAGTCATGACTACCATATGATGGTCGATGACCCGACAGACCCCGATCCGTCGGCTGCACTCCATCAAAGCGCGCTGGGGCTGGTACCTTCGGCAGCGCATGACGTCCACCATGAACAGATTCTCGCGAAATATGATTACGTTGGTCAACAGGACGACGAGCTGGATTTTGTATAGCATTGATGTAGCTGTTAATGCATCGCATGATTGATATTTACTCAGCATTATATAGACAGGCTAATGATAGAGGATTTGAATTCAGCATCTTTCTTGATACTGCTGGCTGCCTAGCCTAAATCACCTTATGCAAGCCTATCTTGAACGAGGGTGAACAGCCGAGGCATGTAGAGCTTGATCCACAGCCCTGACTCGATAGCAGCACATCACCGGACGGAAGAAGGTGCTGATAGCTCTAATGCGATTCCCGCCCTAGCCATCTTCATCAACCAACAATGTCCTGCTAGCAAGCTCTTTGGACTGCCTCAGGTGTATGCTAACGTAACCATGGATGCGGGTTGCCCCTATGAGTCGCCTAGTGAATAAGCCAGTCCATTGGGAATAACTGCTTCAAGCACCTCATCTCGGTCCGGCCAAAGCCGTTTACCTTCACTGTTTTATGTGGTATTCACAGTCCCATTGTCCATTGACTATCTCATTGACTATTCAATGCCTCCGTGTCCGTTCACAGCGTTGTTATCCAGTCCTGTCTTCTTCTCGACCACCCACTCTCCATGATCTTTCTTCCTCTCTCTCACTCTCTCTCCGGACTCCACAACTCATGTTCCATCCATACCACATCTTCCAATGTTGAGCAATGTAGCCTCTTTCCTGGTTGAACATCAATCATAACTTCGTACTAATGCACATTAAAAACCAGAACATATGACCTACATGCATTATCTACCTACAAGGCCAAGGCAAAGCTTCCATCTCTGATATCTTTGCAACCAAGCCTACTATCGTGGTTTCAACCTTTCCAAGATAGCCGGCTTGACCATTATCAAGCCTCTATCAGTGATGAAGATGGACCAACAACATCTTCATGAGGCTCTCTTGCGGTAGTCTGACCCACAGAACCCTGACTCAATCTAAAGAAGTTGCCGCGGTACTGGCCGCAAAGCAGTCGAGTACCTCAAATCCAGCAGTCAAGATCCGTCCCTGAGAATTCCGTCCCCTAGGAGAAAATCTCCACGTTTCTCAACATGAAAAACGAGTTCAAGTCAAGCCAAATACAGGCGAACTTCAATGTCGCTTTGAGCCAGACGATCATTCAGAACGCCTGAAGCACCCGGGGAACCGCGTATTGCTTCAACCAAACTAGCGCGCAATCACAATTGCAACCACAACCACTATGCCTGCAGCTCAGCAGGTATGCAACCATCTATCAGTTTCCTTTTCTATTGCGCACGCATGTCTGACAGAACCTTAGCAGATTATAGTGAATGCGGGTGACCGGGCCACTCCCGAGCTTCGTCTGCACTCTGAGGCTGAACGCGAGAAGATGTCGTCGACATCTCTCCGCTATAATTACCAAGAATGAAAGTCAGAAAACGCCAGACACGCTCATGTCGGCGGATTTCCTACCCCCACCTGCTTTGATATCTTTTCTAGTACAGTGCCCTAAAAAGTCAGCTTGTCTAGCTACCGACATAACCATCTTTCTTTATTTTCAAGACCTCCGTTCGCCATGGCCGTAATTGTGAGGCCAGGTGATGAGCTTATCGATGAAGAGCGTTGTGCGCTTACAGCAGCTCAAGGATATTATGGGGAGAAGTAAAATGAATTCGGCGGTATGGGCATGCCTCTGGTTTACGGATCTCGAAATGCTTAGAGCTATGTCGCACGTCTGACGCAAGATAATGCTTTTCGTCGCGTCCCCGAGAGCAAGCTAAGATCCCAGGTATCGTCCAACATGTTGACCACTTGTAAGTAACATGGCCTTACTGATATTGACTTCAAGCGCATGACACCAGGGTGCACACGCTTCAAGAGAAAACCAAAATGCTAAGATATCAGCTCCAAATACCCTTGTAGCTACCTTGGATTGACCATATGGAGGGGCAGAAAGTCCTTCTCTCGGGAAAGTCTGACTACACATTGTGGCATGATAGACCGGAGGGTGTTGTGGTTATGGAAGCAAAATGGACTTCCATACACTTTTGTGCCGGTAAGATTACTCTGACGAACACATATTCCCGCATTAGGGCGACTACAGTCAGGTCTTCGGCTCTTTGTAACCCCCAGCCACATGGGCGCGCTGGTGCTGGGAACGCTGCATCTTGCTTTCCGTGTCCGCAGAAGGGAGAAATGATCCCCAAATGTGACGCTCGGGGCGCTCTCGCTGACATCTACTTTAGTCTGACTCAATGCTGTGGAGCATTCATAGGGTGGAGGATTATGCTCTCAGGCAAAAGTGTTGAAAGAACAGTGGCCATTCCCAAAGATTAGTTATCTTGCGAAGCCAGATAACATGGTTTCGGTGGAGCAAAAGCTTCAACAAACTCCGGCAGCACGCACGCTGTTCGCTTATTTTGCTCAGATCTGCATAGCACTCTTAGTATCCAGCTCACAGTCAGGAGGACGCTATTTTGAATGACTGCAACTCTTTTACCGGGAAGATAGGCCTGAGTGAGTGAGCTCTCCTGAGCTACGGTTCTTGACTCATGCTGTTAGGCTGCTTTTTTAACCTTTCCCGCCACCTTGAGTGCTGAGGAGGATTGGACGTCTTGCATATCGTCTCGATCTACCCTCAAAAATGGCAAATTCATCCTGCTATCTCTGTTGCTCAACTTAAGCCTGCTCCAAAGACAGAAGGCCCTTATAACCGTCAGCACACCGAGCCACCAGTACAGTCCCTAGGACACAAAATACTATACGTGGCCTTTCTACCTTGAGTAGGAGGGAGCATCGACCATCCACCTGAGATTTGAGACGGCCATAGCGGCTGAATTGCGTCAGAACAAAGTCGACTTGGCCGTCAATGTTAGTAGGACCCTTTGCTACGGGAACAGGGACGATGCTGCGAAGCACCTCGTGGCCATTGAGGCAGCGGTCGTGCATAAGTGCCGCAAAGACGCCGGGAAGCCGGCCCGCCCCATCTATGTATGGCCTGCTATCAGAATTACTTCGCTCAGTTCAAAGTCCCTGCTGTTTACAACACATACCTGTCTCTCTTTCCAGGCCACCTGCCCCTGCATTTCCTTCCTCCAAGCCACGGAATCCTGAATAGGGTTCGAGACACTATGTTGACCACGCATTATTCAGCCTTTGGGACAACGAATCGGAGCTCTTTGGGAATCATGATCCTCAGGGAAGGAGGTGGACCGTCAGTTGGATCAAATGCTAGCCAAATCACTCTGGCAGAGGACAACCTAGTCCTGTTCCATGACTGTAACTTGATTCTCGTGACATTTGGACAAGACACGTGGCAGGCGCCCCTATTGGCACGCTACCGGTATGTCTGCTAAGGAGACAGCCTTTTCCAATACAGAGGGCAAGGACCGAGATTCGGTCCATTCGAAAGCATGAATCAACATCACCAAGTTAAACTCAAATCGGGTCCTGATACAACTGCTGCCACTGACTCCATAAGGGAATCATGTCTCTGTCCTTCTCCCTCTCAATGGACCACGAATGACGGATCCTACCATCACCTCGCCCAGCTACACTGCTCTATTTAACACCAGTGTTGAAAAGATCTGATTCCCGATGAGTTGAAATAGCTCAGCCAATACATTCTCAGTCTGCCATGGTTTACCGGTCTGGCCTTGGACAGCGTCTATCCTACTTAGTCTATGTGCATCATTATACAGTCCGCCTTATCCATGTTGTGGCTTATCGCCTTGCTAGCTCATGGCTGGAGCTGGCTCTGACCAGGCCGAAAAAGAAACAGACCTGGGATGGAGTTCTGCTTACTCTGGCAGCGGTCGTCCTTCAAGCCGCCGGTTCCTCCAGATGTAGCGATGTGGTCCGGTCTGCTGGATACACAGGAATGCAATGCGTCACGTGGAAAGATGTTACTATATCCTACAGTCGCGGAACTCGAGAGCCGAGCGTATAGAATCTGGAAATGCACGTTGTACCGCAGTATATAAAGAACAATAAGTAAGTTGGCGAGTCAATTTTACATCTCTTGGACTCCTGGCTGATGACTCCCGGAACAAATGGCGTTGAGAACGAGCGTTATTTCAAAGCTCTGCAAAGTCCGGTTCATAACTGCATATGCCCTGTCAAGCTCCTTCTCATTCTCGCCTTGCGACACGTGCAAAGCTGCACCATGTGGAAGGGCATAGTCTGATAGCTGGAAACGCACGCCCACCTGTCGATATTGACTGTCCTGTCCGACCTGGCCCATCCTCTGCCACACCCGAGAAGGAAAACGCGCTATTCACAGGGGCGAAATGATGGGCTTAGATTGCCTTATCCTGGTTTGCTTGAACTGCAACCACTGACCCACCACTTTTCAGATTGCTTTCCATCAAATGCCAGATAGCCCTTGGATGCCACTGTATGCTAACTATCTGCATATTGGGTTCTGTTGATCCCATGCCATCTTTCTCAAGTACGCGGGAATTGTCATACCGTTTAGATAGCTTGATGGAAGTCGGCAACTGTATCTCGACATTTAGAAGCAGCCAGAGATAGATTCCAACCTCGGAGAAGAGCCGGGAGCACCAGTCTCGACGAAATCGACCATCTAGTGTTGCGCCTCGAAACAGAAGATCACCGGAAAGAAGGATCAAGCGTCCTGAGATTCTGGCAACCTGTTGCAACCAATGCAGTGGCTTTGGAAAACATAAAGCTACTGCGAGGATCATCCACGAGCTTTCGCATCATCGGATCGAAACATCGCCCTCAACGGGGCTGGAACCTAGCTGGTCGAAGGCTCACAGGCTGGCCACCTACTTTATCGAAGCAAGAGAAAACACAAGTCACAAGTTTTCCCGCTTTCGCACCATAGATACACCGGCGATATCACTCTCGTGACCCCGAGCCAGGCAGAGGCCCTTCGAGTGCTCATGCACAAAGTACTTGCGAGTGCGGCAGAGCATCAAAGAAGAACCCTCAAAGGACCTGACTATGCGACTGTGGTATGTGGGGGATTTTACAAGGTAAGACCGACGGTAGAGACAAGAGAATCGACTCAGGGAAGGAACAGCCCCTTGACTAAGTAATGGCTTACTCTTTCGTTCAAGAATGATGGAGCATTCACGGCATGCATCGCCGCCACCAAGCACGCATATCAGTCAACAAGGAGATTGCCTTCTACAGCCACCGCTATCAGAGCGGGAAAGGCCTGATAAACAAATCCATCTGCGATAAATCACCGTGCTGTATATATATAATTCGCCGCTCGAAGAATAATTCCAAATCGAGCCATCGACTCCACAAGTGGTGCCGGGGTAAGCTAGCATAAGCTGCATGTGAACCTGCCAGGAAGGAATACCAAGACAACTACCACCTGCAGCCGAGAAAAGATTCTGCCCCACGATGTAGACCTTCTAGAATCCATCGATGGAACAACCGTTATCTGAGGAAACATCATGGATTTGGCTTCCTCTGCTTCTGACAAACGAGCTGGTTTCGCAGCATTGGGGAAAAAAAGCTTTGCCATTGGAACTGACGGTCCTTCTTCCCAAAATATACGTCGTCAGTGCCCTAGACGCAGCGGCTCTCGAGAAAACTTCAAGACAAGGGAAGTAAGACAACTTATGGTTTGGAGTAGGGGACCTAATTGGGTGCTCAAATTCGAGTGGGAGAATCAGTGCTTGAGACCGACTGCGAGGGCCCTGGAAGATTCTTCATACCCTTTCAGAGAGGGAGTCATGCAGCAAGATACACACTGCAGAGACCTGGTACCAGACCATCAAGAAAAAAAGGTTAGCGGTGTTGAGATGTCTTTGAAGAAGTCCGATGGCTGGTTAAAGGTTTACCGTGCCCGACTGGTGTCTATATTAACCGCAATACCTTCGAGATGGAATAGAGAAATTTCATGACATGATCAATACTCTAATTCTGTACTGGTACGGCGAAAGTGCGTTACTGTGTATCCGTCTGCAATACAGGTCTGCAAGCCTGGTACTGTACTGGTTTACAGGTAGAATGTGACAAAACACAAATACAGCTAGAAGATCAGATTAGACAAAGCGGATCAGATACAGGTCTAGCGGGGTGGGTTCCCTTCCAATGAAGGATCTGATTAGATTATCTGCGCGAAAAACTCCATTCCCACTAGACTCCTTTCGGGATTTGGAAACGCAACCCAGCCCCACGCCGAAAAATGCCGGTCGAGCGAAGTGCCTCGGTTGAATTGATTTGCCAGTGTTGCCAAGAGGTGTACAATACACCACTCACTCGGGAGGGAGCTCACTGCTGCGTTTCTTCGGGGTCGCTAACCAGCAAAATCTGCTGAAAGTCTCGTCTCCTCGCCAAACTGCCACCGTCCTGCATACCCGACTGACAACCTTGCGTGGAGTAGAACAAGAGTTTGGTTCTCAGGTGGAAACAGTGGCAGGATGTGTCCCCCTCTTTTTCTCCTCCGACTGTACAGCACTCCCCTCCGTACAACACCCGCAATCCCGGACGTAACCAGAACCGGACGTACGTCAGTCCGTACCAAGTAAACAAACAATGCATTCTTCATACGTAGTGGTATCATTCAGCCCGACAAATCCCCCCCCCCCTTCAAAATTCTCATCATAATCACCAAATCCTCCACTTCACAACTTCGAAGCCCTCCACTGCGGCGCCCGCTTCTCCGCAAACGCCCGCACGCCTTCATGAAAATTCTCCCCGGCCATCAACTTCCCATACCACTCCTCGACCAACCGCTCACTGCCCACCTCGACATGAGCCTCCTCCCAGCCGAGATGTAACCCTTCCAGCGTCACCCGAATACTATCGGGACTATTGCTGGCGATGGCGGTCGCGATCTCCACCGCGCGGTCCACCAGCCCCTCCGGCGTGTCGACGACCTCATTGACCAACCCCCAGCGCTCCATCTGGGCGGCCGAGAACGGCCGGCCCGTGAGCGCGATCTGGGCGGCGCGCTGGCGGCCGACGACGCGCACCAGCCGCGGCAGCGAGCCCGCCACCGCCGCGATCCCGCGCTGCACCTCGGGCAGCCCGAACGTCGCGATGCTGCTGGCCACCACGATGTCGCAGTTGGTGATCATCTCGAACCCCCCGCCTAAACAGAAGCCGTTGACGGCGGCGATGATGGGTTTCACGCCGCGGCGGCGCGGTAGCCCGGCTAGCCCGGGGGCGGTCATTTTGTTCTCGATGCCCCGGGCGTTCAGGTCGTTCCATTCTGTTGGTTAGAGATTCCGGTTGTTAGTGAGGGGTGGTGGTGGTGGTGATTGCTGAGTGACTAACCCTTCAGGTCGGCTCCGGCGCAGAATGAACCCCCTGCGCCGGTGATGATGGCCACGCGCAGGGTCGGGTGGACGTCGAACCAGGACCAGAGTTGTTGGATCTCTTGGCTCGTGGCGAGAGTGATGGAGTTGCGCTTTTCGGGGCGGTTGAGCGTCAGGAGGAGGATTTGCGGGGTGGGGAAGCTGATGAGGCAGCCTTGGACTGTCGGGTGGTTCTGGGACATGGTTGGTGATGTGATCGATTTTAGGATGGTTGGATAGATTGATTTGAATTCGAGGAGGGGAATTGAGGGGAGGGGGGTTGTAGTTGTAGCAATGAAGTGGCCTCAGGAGAAGGGTGGGAGTTGTGAGATGAAATGATGTTATGAGAGATAAGACTGGAGCCGTACGGAAAGAAGTAAGTTCGGTTCGGTGTGTAAGTTATGGAATGGTAAAGATAGGTACGTTCGATACGAAATTGCAGAAGCTCCACTCTTGACTTGGCCTTCGTGAACCTCGGGCTGATTGATTGATTGATTGATTGATTTGATTGATTAACTTAGGTTGTTATTTGTAGCTCTCCTCCCTTCATCCTCTTCTTCCTTTCTTTCTCCCTCCATCCTTTCCCCTCCCCTCCCCTCTCCCGCTCTCGATCACTTCTCCTCCTCTACACACTCCTCCTCTACTTTCTCAAAACACATCCCATCATGTCCTCCACCAAATCGTTACCCTGGGTCAAACTCCCCCACCCTTATCTCACCACCTACAAAATCCACGTTGTCTCCGAATCCACCAGCCCGCGCGTCCTGCAACTCCGCCTCCACGACAGCCAAGCGGCCGGGGAGCCCCTCCCCGAGCCCTTCCACCACGACTCCCTCCAATACACCGACCTCAGCTACAATGAATCCGCCAAAGCGATCCCGCTGAACAACAACAGCCCGTGGGCGCGCAGCCAACGCAGCCCGGGCACAACCTTCAGCTGGACGAGCGGCTCGCCGCCGACGCTGGCGCAGATCTGGAACCTCATCCACGCGACCTTCCTCACGCACCCGGAGCAAGAGACGGTGCGGCTGGACCTGGAGGGGCCCGGCCACGCGATCGTGCGCGAGGAGTGCATCCGCACGGGGCTGGCCGTGGCCTTCCCCTCGCCGCGCGAGCCCTTCGGCACCGAGAACCAGCCCTCCCAGCTGCCGACCGTCGTGCTCCTCCGGTCCGCCTTCTGGCAGGGCGCCGGCTCCCCGCTGGGCCCGCGGCCCATCTGGGCCGTTGACCAGGGCACCCACGGCCAGCTCCGCCGCGCCGGCAGCCAGTACCCGCCGCTGGCGCAGAACTACGAGTTCTCGATGAAGTTCCCCGAGGAGCGCGTGTACGCGCGCCACCCGATCCGGCCCGTCAAGCCCACCCCGGGCGCCCTCGTGTACAGCCGCTACATCCCGCACCTGGACCAGCACTTCTCGCTGATGGCGGTCGACTGGCGGAACGAGGAGCACCTGCAGCTGTTCCACACGTGGCAGAACGACCCCCGCGTCGCCAAGGGCTGGAACGAGACCGGCTCCGTCGAGCACCACCGCAACTACCTCCGGAAGCTGCACGAGGACAAGCACGTGCTGTGTCTGTTTGGGCGGTTCGACGAGAAGCCGTTCGCCTATTTCGAGGTGTATTGGGCCAAGGTACCCATGGCCCCCCTGCCCCGAATCCTTTCCCCGAGTCTTTGTCTCGTCAGTGTGCTAATCTGTTTTTTTTTTGCCCCGCAAAAAGGAGGACCACTACGGCGCCCACTACGACGCGGGCGACTACGACCGCGGCCGCCACTCGCTGGTCGGCGACAACAAGATCCGCGGCGCCTTCCGCGTCAACGCCTGGTGGTCCAGCGTCATCCACTACATCTTCCTGGACGAGCCGCGCACCCAGTGCGTCGTCGGCGAGCCCAAGGCCTCCGGCGGCACCGTGCTCTCCTACGAGAACGCCCAGGGCTTGACCGTCCAGAAATACGTCGACCTCGGCCACAAGCGCTCCGTCCACGTCTTCTGCAGCCGCGAGAAGTGGTTCCAGCTGTGTCCGCTGTGGTGGGACGGGCGCGAGCGGCCTCTTGAAAGCTCGGATCGCATGGCGTGGGATGCCAAGTTGTAACCCTTCTTTTCGGGAATTCTTTGGTGGTTGGGTGTATATAATGTGATCGAATTGTAAAGTTATGATTTAGTTGATATTTCTCAATGGCTGTGCTGGATCCGGCATCATGCGATGAATTATTCAATTCTGCGGGATAACTACGGATGCCGCTTCATTTTATCGTACCTTACAGTAAGTAGTGTGGGTCTGGGACGGCGGGGTTCTGTATTGAGTGTATTGTACGGTCTGCCAAGCTGTGCTGTATTACTGACACGCTTACGATAACACCAGACAGTATCATTACTGAAGCGGTCCCGTACGATACCCGTGTCTCCGTCTTACTGAAAACCGAAAGCTCGTCCGTCCACTCTCAGGTTTAGCTCTCCGCACTTGTTCAGCCCGCACTGTTATTGACATTCTATCGGTCAACGCTTGATCTGGACAATAGTTATCTTGCACGTATACAATTCATACCGACTGTATCAATCTAAAACGCCTCGCTAGCCATATACATCATTATACCAAAAACATCAATCCTCTAAAGAACCCATTCAACGCTGTCCATCTCACCCACTCTCCATCACATCAAGCAGATACAGCACCCCAACCACCCCCACCGGCCGTCATGATCACAATGCGGTCATGCGTCTTCATAGAGACGGTATTCTTCCCTCCGATGTTGACCTTCCTCTCCACCCCGGTATCCGGGTCCGTGGTCACCCACAGGTTCATTCCAGGCTGAGCATCGTCACCTCCCTCGAGACCATAGGGACGGTAGACCCGTCTCTCCGAGAGGATGGAGACCTCCATCGGGGACAGGAACTCGACCTCTCTGACGACCCCGTCGCCACCGGGGTGCTTGCCCTGGCCGCCGGACCCGTCGCGGAGAGTGAACTGGCGCAGCAGCGTCGGGTAGCGCTTTTCCAGGATCTCGGGGTCTGTGATGCGCGTGTTGGTCATATGTACGTGGATGCCGGACTCGCCGTTCCAGGTCGGCCCCGCGCCGCTGCCGCCGGCGATGGTCTCGTAGTACCCGAAGCCCGGGATGATCTCGCCCGTGTCCGGGTCCTTCTTGGAGTTGGTGCCAAAGGTCAGGTTGTTGCAGCAGCCCTGGGACGCCGCACACGCCCGGAACGCTTTCAGTACCACGTCGGTGACACGCTGGGAGGTGACCACGTTGCCTCCGACCACGGCTGCCGCTTTCGTGGGCGAGAGGATACTGGGCGAGGGTACCCGGATGTCGATGGGGGCCAGGCAGCCTTGGTTCAGAGGCATGTCCGCGTTGATCATGCATCGAAGACAGTAGATGATGGCCGAGTGGGTGATGGCAATTGGCGCGTTCCACCCTCCATAGACTTCCGGACCAGTGCCCTCAAAGTCGAACACCGCGGACCCATCAGTTCCGTTGATAGTGACCTTCAGCTTGATCGGGGTCCCGTCGTCCATGTAGTCAACTGCCTCCAATGGCTGACCACCAAACTTCTTGTGGAGGTCCTTCAGCAGATTGCGTACCGCAGTCTCGGCCGTAGCCTGAATGGCATACATGTACTTCTGAACCGTCTCAACTCCATACTCTGCAAAAAGAGCCTGAATCAAGGAGATACCACGGGTATTGGCGGCGATCTGTGCTTTCAGATCCGACAGGTTGTCCGAGATGCAACGAGCTCCAGAGCAACCGGGGTATTGCGCGGGTTTGTGAACCAGAAGCTCGATCATCCGCTCCTCATCAAACACACCGTTGCTGACAATCTTGTCACCTTCGATGGCAGCACCTTCCTGCCACAATTCGGTCGACTTGGGCGGCATGGACCCCGGGAGAATACCACCAATGTCGGCATGATGACCGCGAGAGGCAACATAGAACATGATCTCGCTACCACCGGGCCTGTCAAATACAGGGGTAATTACCTAGGTGAAGGTCAGTCCTGTTCACTAAAATACGTTCAAAGAATCACGTACAGTAATATCAGGCAGATGAGTTCCACCGCAGCTAGGGTGGTTGGCAACCAAGACGTCGCCGTCCTGAAGCTTGCCCAGCCACTTCTGGTGTTGGTAGCGTACAGCAAACTGCATGGAGCCAAGGTGAACAGGCACATGGGGCGCGTTGGCTACCAGGCCGCCATCGGGAGAGAAGAGGGCACAAGAGAAGTCCAGGCGCTCCTTGATGTTAGTCGACACGGACGTCTTCTGCAAGGTTCGGCCCATCTGCTCGGCGATGGACATGAAGCGATGACCAAAGATAGTGAGGCGGATAGGATCAATACCAGAGGAAGATGTAGCTTCATCTTCACTGCTCTTTGGTAGCTCCTGGAGATCAATCACAATGCAAGTATCCAGAATCTTGGCCTCGGCATTAGGCGCAACCACAACTGTTTGCGTCTCATCAATGATGATTGCTGGACCGTGTACTCGAGTGTTCTTGTCTAGTTTGTTCAGCTGGTACACAGGAGTATCGATCCGCTCGGATTTGCCATCGAAATAGGCTTTCGAGATAGTGTCTGAGTCACCGCTAACATCCTTGATTGTGGCTTCGCGGAGCTGTACCAGAGGGCTTACTTCCTCACGCACTTTGGAGCAAGCAATCGTACGAACGCGGACATCGTCCACCAAGACTGGCCGATCGGAGTTGAAGCCAAACTCTCGGCGATGTCTGGCACTGAACTCCTCCAGGAAGTCGGAGTCGTCTTCAGGCTTCAAGATCATGAGACTTGTGTCTGAGCCTTCATAGCGCAAGTTGAGATAAAGTTCGTGTCGAACTTGATCAGCTGAGAATCCTTGACTCTCCATATCCTTCACGGCCGCTTGGATCAAGTCATCGAAGCGTTTGTCGAGAGTGGAGCGGGAAGTCGAGTATTCGGTGGAGAGGGGCTCTTGCGACTCCTTGACAACCTCGGCCAGTGCCAGACCGTACGCAGATAGGACAGAGGAGAACTTGTGAATAATGATGCGAGAGATGCCCAATGAGGCAGCAACCGTACAGGCATGCTGCCCTCCTGCACCACCGAAGCATGCAAGATGATGGGAAGCAGTTTCAAAGCCACGGGCTTCAGTAAGGTTGCGGATTGGGCGCGCCATTGATTCATCTGCGACCTTCAGGAATCCCAATGCGACCTCTTCTGCAGTGAACTCTGTTTGGCCCTTCTCCTTCCGCTCGGAGTTGATCTTCTCTGTGAGTTCTTTAAAAAGCTTCGTGGTGACCTCTAAGTCGAGCGGCTGATCCTCATTTTCTCCAAAGATGTGAGGGAAGTATTCTGGCAACAGCCGACCAAGGAACAAATTTGCGTCGGTGACTGTCAACGGACCTCCTTTGCGATAGCAAGCAGGGCCAGGGTGGGCTGACGCTGACTCGGGTCCAACATAGAAGAGACCATTGCGCCACGAGAGGATGGAACCACCACCAGCGGCCACAGTGTTGATATCCAATTGCGGGGATTGGATAAGAACACCAGCAACCTTGGATCCAAACACATGCTCAAGATGTCCATCGTAGCGGGATACATCCGTCGATGTGCCACCCATGTCAAATCCGATCACTGGGGTTTTCTCCTTCGGATCCCAGCTGGTGGCCGCGAATCCGACCACTCCAGCAGCCGGACCGGATAGAATCGCTTTCAGCCCGCTGAACCTGCGGAAATCTACCAGACCACCATCTGACTGCATGAATTCAAAGCGACATTCGTGTTGCTTCTCAAGACCGCCCTCGAAGCTGTCCGAGATAGAGTCGATGTAGGTCTTGATGACAGGGGTGAGATAGGCATCCGCCGCGGCAGACATGCCTCGAGGGACAACCTTAATCATTGGCTGTAGTTTCGAAGATAAGGTCACTGAGAAGCCCATGCTCTCGGCCACCTCACCAATCTGGCGCTCATGCTCAGGGTACGCGAATGAATGGACCAACGCGACCGATAATGACTGGTAACCTTGGTCTTTCAACTCCTGCAGGACCCGCCGCACTTCGTCGATATCAAGTTCCTGTACCACCCGAAATTGTTCCCCAGTTGTGCCTTCGACGACTCGAGCTTCAGAGAAGCAGTCTTTGTCTGCAAGCGGGTGGCAGGGGACCACCCGCTCGTTAATTTCCACGACTCTCTCCGGCAGGACGCCGGGTCTCGCCATGGACAGATCGAAGATGTTGGGACGGGATTGATCACCGATCCGGAGCAGATCGCGGAAGCCCTTGGTGGTGAGAAGGACTGACCGAGCGCCCTTGCGCTCCAGCAGTGCATTGGTAGCCACTGTCGTCCCCATGCGAAGACTTTTGATGCGGTCGAGTTTGAGAGGCTCCCCTCGTGGATGTGGCTCGCCTGTGACGAGCTCCAAGATCTGGCGAATACCCTCGGTGGGTGCATCTTGGTAGTGGCCGGGGTCAACGGATAGTAGCTTGAGGATGATGTCGGGGCGACCGGGCACGACGGCGTGTACGTCGGTGAAGGTACCGCCACGGTCGATGGAAATGGTAATCTTGTCATCAGACCCGGTCATCTTGCCGGATATCACTGTGAGACAAGACAGTAGGGTTGGCAAAGAGTAATGAAGAGAAGTGTAGAATGGTTGAGGGGAAGTCAACGAGGGGCAATCGTGGGGTTCAAATAACAATCCCGCTCTGGGGAATTGTTGATAAGCTCCAGCTTCGGATGTCGTCAGTCGGCTGTATTTACTCCACAAAGAGTCTCATTGGCCCGGGGTCACGTGTCGGGCCGATGACGGCGGGGCGTGCGGAGAGCGCGGCCCGATAACGCCGTCCTTTAAGCCCATGATAGCCATGATAAAGCAGAAGACCAAAGATAACGCAAGTAGATAGGAAAGTTTGAGTGAATAGTAGTGAGGCACTCAGAACTTTGGGCGGCTGATCGGCTTGGCCCAACATCTCTGCCATCCTATTTAAATCAGACTGCATTGCCGGCCCGGCCGCGATCAGATATATCTGTGCAAAAGCCTCATCTGGTCCTAGATTGCTCAGGCTTATTTCCCTTCGTTAACCTCATCCTGGGACAGTACATCTACCCTGCACAAAAGAACTGACAGCACGACTTCTTCGGATGTTGAGACTAGGGGGCTGTGTCAATTTCAGCCCCAAACATGCCAAACAGGTTAGCGTCTCAGGGCCTGGTGTCTGTCAGCCTTACCAGCATGGCAGTTTGAAACAGCCACAGTAAAAGGCCCCCACGTGAAAGGCATCATCATATATCAAACCGCTTCCTCCACGTTTCTTTCTGAGACCATCTGTTTTACAAAAGTTGAAAATTGGTGGTATTCGTCGAGACAATATGAGCAAATCAAGCGAATCCGTCCTGTCAATTCTCACCGGACAATCCTGGTTCTGGGATCCCATGCAGAGCAATGAGATTAGGTTTCATCCGAATGGAGCTGGCCACGTAAGGCTTTACCCCTTTCCTTCATGTCCGCGAGATCATCAAAGCTAACTCGAGCCAGTTGATCTGTCGTTACGAAACACAAGTGTGGATTATGGCAGAGTTGCATTGGAGATCTCTGCGCCCAGCTTCTCTCGAGCAGGTTGCTGTGACCACCGCCGATGGCCTTCTTAGCGAATTCGAGATTGAGATCCGACTCTCCAAGCGACAGACTCCAGGAACTTATGTTCCACCTGGCCGCCGCATCAACGAAGCTCTACTCACCGACGAGGCTTTTGAGCCCAAGCTTTTCACCGTACGATTGGAACGAGGATCATTCCTTACGCAACATGATAGAGCGGGTGACAGACAAGGTGGAGATGCCTCAAAATGGGCCATGCGTCTGGTCTTTGACAAGTCTCCTTATCCCCAGCCCGAGGAGTGGAAAGAGATGACCAGCAGTCTTCAGGCGCATAAGATGTGGGAGTGGAATGAATTTTGCAGCCATCAGCTGCCTGAGAAGGGTCTTCTGGCAGCGACTTGGTCAAAGCTGAGGGAATCATTTGTCTCCTGATGATCTATGAGAGAATAAGTTTAAATTTGTCAGAAAATAATTACAAGAATTCAATGAACAGCGACTAGGCTATACATCGACGGCTCAATTTCCCTAGACCGTTCTGACTCCACAATGACCACTCCTCCATATCCGCACCCCTTCCACAGTCTTGGTCGTCATTTGGCTCTGCTCATCCTTCCTTTTTCTCACCACCCTTCTCTTTCCCTTCCTCCTTGCCCGAGTTTTCGTCGTCGTCGTCATCAGACGAGCTTCGCGACATCCAGAACCGAGAAAGCATACCACCCAGATAGGTCTGATCGACCCACTTGATGACGCTGTAGAAGAACCAGCCCCAGCCCCACAGCGAGACACCCATCATGCTAGCCACCAAGAGGACCGGACCGAGGATGAGCAGCGACAGAACACACCAGAGAATAATTGCCACGGCAGCGAACAAAAAGACACCGGCCAGGAAGACGAGCAACGGGACTCCGCAACAAAGCAGCTGGCAGATGAGGAAGGTTGTACTAGCCGGCCGCTTGGATGCGGCGTCGTACAGCCGGGCTTGTCGTGGTCCCGGCAAGAGCCAGGAGAGCCAGCCCATGAGGTATGACTCCATCTTGTCGAACATTCGGGGTACCCAGCGACGATACCAGTCGCGCATAGGAGAAAGAATCGGGCCGTCATTGTTCTGATCGCGCTGGGCGGACTTGACTCCGTCTTCGTCTCCAGGAAATTGGCCGGGCAGCACCGAATCGGTGGTATTCTGGGCAGTCTTGTTGACCGTCTTGTGGCCCTGTTGAACCGTAGACTTGACGTCCCCGGTCAGCTTAGGGGGTCGGCCCTGTAGGCCGCTGGTCGCCACGCCGGTCGCCGTGTTGAGGGACATTGTTAGGTCGGCACTGGCAGTAATGCACGAGAGTCAAGCGCACAGGCCTTGTATGGAGGATGGATAAAAAACTAGGGAGTCTGTGGTAGCAGCACTGTATCTTCTTTTCTTTCGAGAAGGCGAGCAGCAGTAAATAAACAACACGGTGGATAGAGGGGAAGTATGAAATCATCATCATTTTTAAACCGGGTTGCCGGTAAATGACGTAGTGGGCGCCGTCACTCGTAATATGACAGCTGCTATAGCGGCCCACTCAGAACAGTTGATTGCACCACCTACCATGGTAAGTTCTGACTGGAGTCCACAGTACTAAGGTACAGACGTAAGTACTAGGTATGTATGAGTAGTGTGGTCTGGCATTAAGTGGCTAAGCGGAAATGAAACCGATCGGGAAACAGACCCATAAGGCATACACTAGCGGCCTGAGGCTTGAGAATTGCTTGGTTTGTTTGTTTGCGATGTTTGTTGTAAGTTACTGTACTACCAAGTTAACCACTCCCTCCTAAAGTTACTCCGCACTTTATCTCCTATCAATTTTCCTCTACTCGTAGGCTGTCAATAGTCTCACGTCTCCACTCAAATACTACCCTTTCATCTTCTGTCGACTAGTGTTTGGTAGTAGTACCACCCTGCCAGCTACTAGTCTAGCACCGATTCACCCACATTCACGCCAACCACTCTATCATACTTCGCGCAAGTGAATCTAAGCTAAACATGCAGCAGCAAACACCTTGGAATGCTGATCCGCCCCCTCTTCTGCAACCCCTGTCCTGGAGGTGCCTTGGCCATCCATCACCTGGCCTTTTTCTTCTCTGATCTATCTTTCTTTATTTCTTTCTTCTCTTGCTTCCGTGCCACCCTTCAATCTCCCACTTCTCGTCTATCTTGAATCGAATTGGATATCCGTCTACAATGTTGGTTTGTCGCCTTTGGCCAGTATTTCTAGTACTGGCTACGGCCTCCGCTGTCTCAGTGAACCCCTTGCCTGCCCCGCGTAACATCACTTGGGGATCGTCTGGACCCAAGCACTTGGCTGGTTTTGTGACTTTACGGGCACCTAACGACACCGACGACAACATCCTCGCCAATGCCTGGAATCGCGCCTGGAACACCATGGTGGACCTGCAGTGGGTACCTGCCGCCACCGAAGCCCCCATCTCAAGCTTCCAGCCCTTCCCAACTGCATCTCCCAAGGCCGCTCAGAGAATTAAGCGCGTCTCAGCGCCCTCGGTGCAATATGTCGACGTGGAAGTGAAAGACATCACTGCGGACCTTCAACATGGTGTCGACGAGTCCTACACTCTTGAATTGACTGAGGGGAGCAGCACGATTAATATCAGGGCCGCGACGGTCTGGGGAGCGCTCCATGCGTTCACCACCCTTCAGCAGCTGATAATCTCGGACGGCTCGGGTGGCCTGATCATCGAACAGTGTGTCTCAATCCAAGACGCACCCCTCTATCCGTACCGTGGTATCATGATTGACACGGGACGGAACTTCATCTCCGTCGGCAAGATCTACGAGCAGTTGGACGGAATGGCACTTTCGAAGCTGAACGTCCTGCATTGGCACCTCGATGACACCCAATCCTGGCCCGTGCAGATCGACTCCCACCCCGAGATGATCCAGGATGCGTACTCGCCGCGCGAGATCTTCACTCACGCAGATATGCGCAGTGTGGTTGCGTATGCCCGGGCTCGTGCCATCCGGGTGATCCCCGAGGTTGACATGCCCAGTCACTCCTCGTCGGGATGGAAGAACGCGGATCCAGAGATGGTAACCTGTATCAACTCGTGGTGGTCGAACGATGACTGGGCTCTGCACACGGCAGTCGAGCCGAACCCGGGCCAGCTGGACATCATCTACCCCGGCACATACGATGTGGTGCGGGACGTGTACAACGAACTCTCGGATATCTTCCCTGACAACTGGTTCCACGTCGGCGCGGATGAGATCCAAGCCAACTGCTTCAACTTCAGCACGTACGTGACGGAGTGGTTCCAAGAGGACCCCTCGCGGACCTACAACGACCTGGCGCAGCACTGGATCGACAATGCGGTCCCGATCTTTCGCAACTACAGCACCTCACGCCGACTGGTCATGTGGGAGGACATCGTGCTCTCGACCGAGCACGCGCACGACGTCCCCACCGACATCGTCATGCAGTCGTGGAACAACGGGCTGGACTACATCAGCAAGCTGACAACGCAGGGCTACGATGTCATTGTCTCGTCGTCGGACTTCATGTACCTGGACTGCGGCTTCGGCGGCTTCATCACCAACGACCCCCGCTACAATGTCATGAGCAACCCGGACCCCAGCACCCCGAACTTCAACTACGGCGGCAACGGCGGCAGCTGGTGCGGGCCCTACAAGACCTGGCAGCGCATCTACGACTACGACTTCACCACGAACCTGACCGACGCCCAGGCCGCGCACGTCATCGGCGCGGTCGCGCCGCTGTGGTCCGAGCAGGTCGACGACGTGACCGTCTCCAGCCGCTTCTGGCCCCGCGCCGCGGCCCTGGCCGAGCTCGTCTGGTCCGGCAACCGCGACGAGCAGGGCCAGAAGCGCACCACGTTGATGACCCAGCGCATCCTGAACTTCCGCGAGTACCTCGTCGCCAACGGCGTGCAGGCGAGCCCGCTCGTGCCCAAGTATTGTCTGCAGCATCCCCATGCCTGTGACTTCTACCGTGACCAGAGTGCCGTGCACTAATGAGTATGCACTCACGAATTAAGCCTTTGGTGTAAAAGATCCTTCGTTTTGGAGCACCCCCTCGTTAGTTTGTGGTCAACATTGGATGATCTACGGGCAACTTATGAATGGCTGCTACAAGCCGAATCATCTTGCATATGTGTATAGGTGCTACTTAATCAAATGGCATAAATCCACGAATATACTTACTAGTCGGACCCTGCATGGAATCGTAGTCTACCGAGCTCCTCAGCGTACTAGACCGAGCTGACATCCTCAGTATGTAAAAGCCAGACAGCGGCGGTCACACCGCCAGGGCACCGTGACTGACCACGTTCAAGTCATCCAATTTCCAGATTAGATTAGCGCATTAAGCCCGCCTGACACCCGTAGAAGAGAAGATATATAGACATCCCCGCGAACTCCAGAACTCAAAAGGGATTTTCACCTCCTATCGCGCTTCAACGGCGAAAAGGCCGGGACACCGCCGAACCCCCGACCGCGCGCCGTGCCCGCCTTCCGGAAATCAAAGTCCATATCATCGTCCTCCTCATCGATGATCAGCTTCTTCTGCTGCCCGCCCAGCTTGCGCTTGCGGACCTGCGGCTTGGCCAGCATCGAGACATTTCCCGCGCCAAAGATGTCATCGTCGTCGTCGTCGTCGATCGGATCCAGCCGCCTCGACGCCTGTCTCGGTCTTCGCGAATTGCCAGCTGTCGCTGTAGTTGTGGTAGTGGCAGCGGTGGTCTTTTCCGGCCGTGCCTTGCCCAAGCCCAGGGATAGTTGGCGGGATCTTTGTGCTGCTGCTGCTGCTGCAGTAGTAGGGGCGGGGACATCCGGTTCACGGATGATACTGTCCTCGAGCGAGGAGGACTCCTGGTCGCTGTCGTTGTTGGCGTTGTCGGCATGATTCTCGTTGGAATCTGCTTCAGCCGACGGAGCACCGGTGGTCCGGTTCAGGAACGGGGTGATCGAGAAGGCGGATTTCTCGCCGGGCAGGGCTGCGACGGCCGCGGCGCGCTTCTCCCTCTCCGCGTTCTTGGCGCGGACCGCGCCGGGCGTCGCGATCGTCAATTCCGGGTTGATCCGCGCGGCGGCCGCATATCGGTCGGTCGAGGACTGCTCCCTCGACCATTTGACGGGGACGATACTCGTCCCGGCCTGGAGGGGTTGCTGCTGCTGGATGGAGCTACTGCTGTTGCTGTTATTGATTTGGGCCTTGCGGAGCTGATCCTTGGTCGCGAAGAGCTTTTTAGTAAGCGTCTCGATCTTGTCTTCCAGCGCGGCTTTCTCTGCATTCCACTTTGCAGTGGCTGCTTGTTGTTGTTGCTGCTGTTTTTGTAGCTGTTGTTGTAATTGTTGCTGTTGTTGTTGCTGCTGCTGCTCAGACCCCCCGCGAGCAGAACGCGTCCGCTCGTGCGCGCGCCTCTCATTCTCAAGCTCCACCTCCAGCGAACTCAGCTGCCGTGAGAGCGCCTGCTTCTCCGCCAGGAGGGTCTGCGACGAGCTCTCCACCGACTGCAACCGCTGCACCTCGGTCTGCACCCCGGCCAACTCCTTGGCCAGCCGCATCTTCTCCATCATCAAGGTTTTCACCTCGACGGATGTGTCGGACATGGATTCCAGCTCTCGCTGGTCGGAACTTTTAGCAAATGCCTTGGCACGAACAGAGATCCAACGATGCACCAAACAAACACAACAGCAGGAAGAAAAAGCCCCTCTCCTCCATCCGCTCCCCAAAACCCCGACTCATAAAAGCAAAGCAGCAAGTAGAAGAGGAAGGACGTCAAACTTACAGCAAGATTCTCCTTCTCGTGCCCCAGCACATACACCGTCTGCTGGATGCGGTCCCGCTCCAGCGCGACCTGATTCAACCTCCCCAGGATCTCCAGCTCGGCGGAGCGCACCCGCCCGATCTCCTGGCGCGCCTGGTCGAGCTGCTGCTGCAGGTTCTCGTTCTCGAACTGCTGCAGCAGCTGGTCCACCCGGTGGACGCGGCGGGCTTCCTGGTCGAGGAGCTGCGCCGCGGTGCTCACGGTCTGGTCATATTCTCTCTCGAGGGAGAGGGTATGTAGACTTAGATCATACTGTTTTTGGGGGCGGGTTAGTGGTTTGTGTTCATGTTGAAAAGGGGGGGAAGCAAGTCTTCGGGTTGCGTTTCTGGGACAATTGGGTAGGCTCCGCGCGGAGAGGGTAGAGGGGATTGAGATAGGAGCTTACGTCTTCGGCGGTGCTGTCGATGCCCATTCTTTGTTGAGTTGTCGCTCGCGAGGTCATTCGAGGCAGAGATTGGGATACTGGCGATTGTATACCTGGTTTAAAACAATTAAAGGTATAGGATGGGGATAGAGCGATTGGTGACCACGGCACGTAAGGATGTAAACAGAAGGCTATCTGCACGTGACTGTGATGCAAATGTCCCAAACATGCTGTGAGACGCCTGATACCCAAGGCATAAACGGTCTTATCGCATTGGGGTACAAACAGCCGCTATTTCTCCTGGATGACGCTGCACCTTTATAAAAAAAAAGCTATTCTATGCGATTGAATCTTAATTGTTTGAGGCATAAGTTGAAATCACCAAGCGGTGAGCCTCGAATATCCACTGGTTGAAGCTAAACATGCAGAGGGCCAAAACATAAACTTTGTATGTACAGTACATTGCAAACCGGACTTGACGTCATACCATCATCGCAAAACAAGAGACTGGGGAATCTGAAATATCGTACCCAGATGAAGCAAAAACAGACGCTGAAAATACCTAATGTCTATCCATGTAACGAGTCCTCGAAAACAGTTTCCAATCTAAGCCTTGGGCCGGTAGAACTTGCTCTCAACCCACGGCATCCCGGTGACCGTGGCCTTTCTAACCTTATTCCGGACCAACACTCCCACCTCGGTTCCCTTCTTGTGCAAGCCATTCTTGATGTATCCCATCGCGATGTTCACACCTCCTAGCGACGGACTCGGCAGGCCGGAGGTGATCACTCCGATTTGCGCACGAGACTCGTCGTTGAGATCCACAATGATAGCGCCTTCGCGAGCAGGGGATCCCTTCTCAACGGTGAATCCCACCCGGCGCTGGGAAAGAGTCTTGGCAGGGGAAGCGACCTGAGGAAGGATCGTAGCAGCGCCGTTGAATTTGGCGGTGGCGGGATCGCGACGCTCCTTGCCCACAAGCCAGGTCAGGGATGCAGAGGGAGGTGTCTGCGAAGTAGAGATGTCGCTGCCGTACAGACACATGCCTGCCTCGAGGCGGAGAGAGTCACGAGCGGCGAGTCCGGCAAGGCGCACCTGCTCGGGATTCGACAAAAGGAGTTCTGTCACACGGCGGGGAAGGGAAGGATCCTTAGCAGTGGGAATGCTAATCTCAAAGCCATCCTCACCCGTGTATCCAGTCCGAGAGACCAGAAGGGGCTCCGCGCTCGAGGTTCCATCGGGGAATGTCAGAGTGATCGACCGGCAGTTGCCAAAGTAGAGGTTGCTGAGGTCGGAGTCCTTGACCAGAGGCTGAAGGATAGAAGCAGCCAGAGGACCCTGCAGGGCAACGAGAGCACGGTCATCGAGAATCTCCCAGTTGATGGACTCAGGGCCGTGAGTGGACCGGTAGATGTCAATCTCAGCTTGGAGAAAGGCAAGATCTTCAGCGCGGCGGCCAGCGTTGGTAACGAAGTAGAAGGTATCAGAAGACAAGCGGGTGATCACAGTGTCATCAAGGATGCCGCCTGTGCCATCTTCGAGGAGGCAAGAGAGGGTCGATGTGTTGGGCTTGAGCTTGTCGAGGGAGGAGGGCGTGATTTTCATGAGAAGTTCCAGGGCGCCGGGGCCGCTCAAGTGGTGCTGAACCCTGCATGTCTGTGTTAGCAAGAATGAACTGAAGGTAGATGTTCGGGCACTGGAGCTTACATGTGGCTAACGTCAAACAAACTGGCCTTTTCGCGGGTCCAGTGGTGGCTCTCAACATGGCTCAGGTCGGAGTATTGGAGGGGCATGGAGAACCCCGCAAAAGGCACCATCTTTGCGCCGTTTGCAACATGGACATCGTACAGTTGCGTTTTCTTGAGCGAGCCGGTGGAGCTTGAAGAGGATGCATAGCGCAAGCCTCCGTTTGCGCGCAACGGAGCAATTGCAAAACGAGGGCGAGCAGTAGAAGTCGGAGAGACGGCGGCGGAGCGGAGAAGGCGGGGAGAAGCAATGAGGGGTTGTGACAACAGAGCTACGCTGCGAGAGCGCGAATTGGCAGCCAAGAGGCGAAGACCACGACTTGTAGAGCAGATAGAAGACATTGTGAGCTATGATGGTGAAATATGAAAAGATTGAATGGTAAGAAAGGAGGAAAGAAGAAGGGAAGGGGAAGAAAGATGTCGGAGTAAATGGCGGATGCGGAGAAGCTTGTCGATAAGCGGGAAAGTCACATGCCGATAGGACAGGCCAATTCCGCGGAAAGCGAATCGGCAATCTGGACAACTGAATCGATCTGCCAGCCATGTCTAGTGGACTTCTCTTCCCCCACTATAGAAAACAACTACTAGGTATCTATGGATACAAGTGTCACGATTTTCGATATTGTCGATACTGATAATTGAAACTAAATCTATGGGCCCTTGGATAGTCTAGCCAGTGCAGAGGTACCCATGAAAGTGCGCACATTTCAGCCAAACCATGATCACAACATGAAGACTTAATCAAATTCGTCGTTGGCAGCCTCAAATGCATCCGCCTCATCGTTACCATAAGCTCCTCTCTCCATTCTAGCCCCGTCGGTGAAGGAGTATCGATCGGGGATTGGATCGCTGTATTGATTGGCAGTAGACTCGAACATCTCTTCCGGTGTCCAGCTTGAAGTCGGATCAGCAGCTGCGGCCCTTGTGCTTCCTGAGAGAGAGGCGTCCTGCAGTCGAGAGGCAGCCTTCTGATCTTGAGTGGTGCTTCTCAAACGACGAGTCTGATCATCGTTCTGAGGGAGCCGGATGCCTGTGTCGGTTTTGGAGGACGGCATGGTGTTTTCGAGAATGGACCTAGAAAAGGTTAGACCTTAGTTTCAGGTCTTCAACGATGATCTTGTTACTTTCCAGTAAGAGAGGTGATATACCCGATTTCTAAGGGAGACGTTGTATGAATCTTGAACGATTCTTTGCGCTCGAACCATGTCAAGATCTACTTGACTTATATGTGCGTGTTCAGCAGTCCGCCACTCCTATTCTTGCGTTCAGCAGACCTCATACAACGACACACATCCTGCATCACAACTGCATCAAGTAAAGTGAACGCTCGTCTCGTGGGGACACTTGAAAGTCAATTTAGAGGATGAGAGGCTGAGATGAGACTTGAGACTTGTTCTGGTAAAGTATAAGTGGAAAGTCTAGATACGACAATGTTTGAACCGATCTCATCACATTGACTCGAACATTAAGTCACCAGGACACAAATATACCTTCATATGCTTTCTCTGCTAAGGAAATTCTCTTTCTAAGACCGAAGGGGAGTTGATCTGATCCACGCGCCGCTTCCAGTACGTATACCTCATTTTTAAGGGAGATCTATTCCGTCCCAATGCTTGGGGAGGAGTCTCATCCCTAATGCATATTCAACATGTAGGAGCCACTTCCTTCGTGGTAAGAATGGCCTTGCTTCTACTTTCGATTCACCTACCAGAATTGTTAGCTAGCCACACATCCTACAACCTGTTGCCATGAAACTTGCGCTGGATCCCTTTGCAGACCTTTCTTTGGCAAAATCGCAAGCCCTAACAAGGTACTTCGAAACCCCATTGTTCGTTGTCCAAGTGGCGTCAAATTCCCAATTCGCAGCCTTTGTTCATACTTCTCCATGAGCAACAAAGCCCTTCGAGATAGCCAGACGGATGGAAGGTGTGAAAGAATCCGATTGTCTACTTGTCCTCAATGGTCTTTGTTTTCAACGCCTATAGAGAAAATGTCCGCCCCTTTAAATCATACGAAGCCGCCATCTGGCTGCTACTCTTTTTCCTGTAGGTAGATACACTGGTCACTATTCATCATAACAATTGTCCGTCTCAATCATTGTTCGCAAACCAAGCTGTATTAGTTTTCTAGAGTCAAGTGGCCACAGATGCCAGCACAACGCCAAACCCAATCCCAGACAGGGGCAGCAAGCCGCCGCAGGTATCAGCTCCGCTCGAAGGGCCCAGTGGGTCGTGAGATCTTCCAAGTTTTAGAGGAACGCAAGCCAGCAAAAGTCTCCAAATCAAAGCCCAAGCCACAACGTTACAGCTTCAAGGTGGGAGTTCGACTACGTCTGGTCTCCAAACAAGCGGCGTTGGGTTTTATCAGTGGCAGCAGTGCCCCAGAGGCCCCACAATCCTACCAGCGCAAGTCGCAGATTGAGAGTGAAGCAGACGCAGGCAGTCAAGGTTGTGGCACCAACTTCGCTGTCGAGCAATTGATCTACCAGACCCTCCCGTGCAAGGAGGGCCCAATCGTTGTCAACGCTGAGGTCGATGTCCAAGAAGAGGTCCCCTTCGAGGCCATAGTCGATGCGAAGTTCATGCCATCGGATGATGATCCTGGTACGCAATCCTACACCCTCGAAATCACAACGGCACTCAACATGCATCTGCCTATAACAAGACTAACCCATATCTCGTTCCACCCAGAATTCCGACGCCGCCTAGCCCAATGGCAGATCCCACCTGTAGAGGACCCGGAGCGATCCCCTGGAAAAATCAAGCTGTCCGATTTCTTCAAGGCGGTCCGCAATGACCTGTACCGCGATCAAACCGACGCGGACATGTTCTGGTTTATGCTGAAACTCCTCGAAGACTTCCCATCTGATCGAAATGGAGACGTGTACGTTCCACCC